TAGTAAACATGATGCTGTTCCAACTTTAATTTTTGGAATTAGTGCTGTATCTTTGCTTTTAAAATCTTGAAAAAAGATGTTTTTCTGGACTGACCAGATGAGTCTAGCTTATATAACATCTAATGTGACATATTTTACTATATGATTGTTAGAATAATGTGCATAAATGTATATAGAAGTTATCATTATTCCTAATATTCTTATGTAAGAGTTTACTACAAGTATAAACTTTTTTGACCTCTTTTTATACATTATATAAGAGTATTTTTATCATATAAGAGTGTTTCCTAACTTCTCTCTCCAATAGCTTTACTACACAGCACAACAATGTTTCTTTCAGTTTTCTGTGACCGTGTCTTTCCTATCAGCAGGTGGGGGTGTGGGGGTGACGTATCCTCCGCTGATGAATCGTGGGAAGTTTTTGCGAAGGATCCATCCTTATCAGAAGGAGCTCGTTAGATGCCGCCTTGACCTTCACATATTCACAAATTGTTCATTATTATGTTCTGTGAAATGCTTACTTTGCTGCACATATTTTCCCCCACCCTTTAGAAACATTGTGTAACCAGGGACAACCCTAAATAAAAGAGGCCGGACAGAAAAAGCATCCTTAGAGTGGTATTGAGATAGCTAAAAAAAGATCTCTGTCCATTCTCCTCGAGTATATACCATTGTCTTTCTCTTTTTTATATGTTTTCAGGTATTTGGGCAGGTTTTAGACCCAACAATAATACTGCTTCATTATGAGTTTTAACAGTGTCTAGAGTTCTTAAAGTTTGAGTAAGAAAGTCAGTACAATGAAGGATTTAGACACAAAGCTAGAGTAATATCCAGGAAAGACACATGTTATGGATTTTAAGTACAGACACCAGGGAAAAGTTGTCCGAATAACAACCAGTGAACCTTGGTGAAATGGGCACTAAAGTTAATGAAGCTTGAGCGTCAGCAGGGAATGTGGAGGAGAAAATAAGAGCAGCCACACTGTATCATAGCTTCCAGATATAGACTAAATTTAGAGGCTTTGTAGGTGTCTATAAGTCTTTAAAGTAGGTCTGAGCTACATGAAAGTTTTGATTGTTAATCCAGACGATAGGAAAGACTCAGAAAACTTTATAAACTTGCTTTTGCAGAACAAAAATGTGAATGAGTTTGTCAGCCTCTCCTGGCACACAGAGCACAAAAAGAGCACAACCAGGACCTGAACCCGAAGCCGCAACGCTGCACTATGATACAGCAAAGTCCATGAATGGAAGAACTGTGCACATGCAAAACCACATTCCCAACCACTGGCATATCTCTGATCAGAGCCACATAGCGTGATCCCAGAGGCACTCTAAGTCCTTTAAGGCAGAGCAGAGCCAAAGCAGATGACAAGACCCCAGCCCCACAAACCCCAATACTTAAACACTATGAATGACACTCTCTAAGTTTGATGTCAGTCCTTCCAGAGCATTAAATCAGAGCAGAGTGGTGACACTGGCTGCAGATCACTGACTCTTTTGCCACTCTGCTCTTGCTTACATCTCTGTAGAGGTGCATCAGTAGCAGATCTTTGATGCAGAATCCTCTCCTGCCTTTGAATTTTATAAAAAGTTGGGTCAGATGATCTTAAGGAGGTGGCTGATGAAGTTCTGTTTCAGCTAAGTGAATGAAGTTTGCTATGCTACATGCAAAAACCTGCAGTCCAAAAAGTCTGATCATCACTGAATCTACAAAACAAAAGCGGTGAGATCAAATAAAGAAGCATCAGAGCGACTTTCTCGCTTTTGTCTGCTTTAATTTTATGCTCAGAATGAGAGCTATCCCACAGATCATTACTCAGTGTCTCCAAGTGTAAACACATCTGGCTCTGAAGTCTCAGCTGGACTCCTGCCTCGTCTGCATCTGTTCAGCCTCTCAAATATAACTCAGAGAGGAGACAGTCAAAGCTCAAGGGTCCTCATCAACGCCACACATGTGGAACATCCACGTCGTCTGAGCCTGTAAAGGAGGAAGCTTCAGGAAAGAGGGCCGAGGGGAGTTATTCCACCTGTTTGACTGCTGTGCAGCAGAGCAGACACATTTACATGGTACATCATGAGTCTGTCCCCCTGCAGAGAAGACCCACCTTTTACTGGACCTTATCTGCCCAGATGGAGTGAAGAAAAAAACTATCAAAGTATGCTGGATGGTAAAAAGTAAATTTGCATTCATAAATCAGCTGATTAAACACGAAATTTCTGGTTTATGGAGGATAAGAAGAGGATTTGGAAGGTCATTCATTCCAAATAAATGAACTTATAAATGGTCCCACACTGCCTTCATCTGTTTGCCTTTGGTACTGCACTGCTAAACAACAGTGAGCCCAACACAGTTTCAAAATTCTATTAAATTATTTATTCATGATAAAATAAGTGAAAGAAAAACCTTTAAATCTACCATGTGCTTAACCTGGGTTAAAAAATGGCAAAAAATTACTCATAATAGACAGAGGTAGCATTCTGTAGAACCTCAGATATAATTCTCATATAACATGTAAATTAGTCAGTTTATATTAATAACACCAATTTATAGGAGAATGAATCACAGAGAAATCCCTTAATTCTGACATGTTTATCTTTATTTTATTTTTTTAGAAAGCCTTTCAAAACCAATCATTTTAAAAGGGAGCTGTTCAAAATTATTGAACAAGGGCTAGGTGTCAGAATCAGGGTCAGATTTATGGACTGTTATTTTTTTCTATGTTAAAAGCCTGAAATTTTTATTCAGCTAAGGTTAGATGAACATTCACCTCAAATCCAAACAGACACACCATTCCTGTCAACATGTATCAAAATAAAAGAAAAAAAAGGATTTACCAGTCTGATTTCAGCGCCCTCTGGTGGTGCGATGTGTAGGTAAACGTGTGGATGCTGTGGTTAGCATCAGAGTGGGTATGTAATTTGATCCCAGCTGAAGAAGTCCCTGGAAGGAAGAGTGTGTGAGCTTAGCCAATGAAGCAAGGGTGACCCCAAAAAGTATAAGTTAGAGAAATTATGTCCTTCTCCAGCATGATGTAAATATGAAGGCTTACATTCAACGCACTTTTACTGCTTTGAAAGTGTGTTTCTAAATTTGGATATTTTCATAGCATCCCAAATCACCAAAGATAATTTGATCCACTGAGACTTTATAGTTCAGGTAATTTGGGACGATATCAAAGTGCTAATAAAATGTGTTACACTAGTGTTTTCATATAACCTGATTAAAAAGAGGAAGCTATCACTTATATCAGCTTAGATCTGAAGAGCTTCACACTAAAACCAACCAAAGTCAGCAGTGGCTTCACCAGACATGAAGTGAAAAATGATGAATCATCTATTGTGTTATCTTTGCAAGAACAGTCTTTAAAGATGAGCCTGTCAAAGCTCAACAAACACACTTGGGCTGAATAAAGTTCATATGTTGTTAAAGGCAATTATGAACACATCAAGGTCTGCTTCATAAGGTTTAACCAACAGATCTTATAAGTTGAAATGAACTCTGAAATATGCTAAGGAATTGGACATCATATTTATTACACCGAATATACAAAAACTGCATTTTAAATTCATTAAAAAAAAATTCGAGAAAAAAAAAAAACATTGATTGCCATGCAACCAAGTCCCATTTTTCCAGATGAATTTGCCCTTCAAAAAAGATTCATCGACAGATGGTGCCACTCTGAGCAAATCCCATGTGGAGCTTGCTTAATTCAACATAATTTCAGCCTCTAACTCTTCGAAGCTCTCCTGGCACTGAGCAACCCAACACTCAAGAAGCCTCATCCACTGCTGCCATGCAACAAAGTCATGTTTATGTGTTTAAAATGACAAATATTCATTTATTCATTCACCTTTTATTTAAAACTGAGAAATCAATGAGGGATAATCATCATCTGCGTGATGACAAATTACAGAGACAGTTAAAAGACAGTCCACAAAGCAGTTCAAGAGAAAATCACAAAAATTGCCGAAAGGTCAATCAAATCACCAAATAAAAAATAATTCTAAGATGATAAAAGTGGAATAAACAGGATAGAATAGGGCTAAAATGTACTAAAACTGTGTAAAAGGTAAATGATTGAATGAAAAAATAAAATAAAAGGTACACTAATGTCAAACAGCTAAAGACAGAAGTATGTCAGCTCCATAGTTGAGCTCACTACATAGTCAGCTACATAGTGAAACCCCGTATGGGGGTCAGGGGTTAGGGATTGAGTGATTCATTTCGGACAAAGCCGTAAATTACAGTATGACAGCATTTCCATAAATATACATCTAACAATACTTTTGTAGCCTGAGCCTCAGGCTGACTTAATGCGACAATAAATAGTGAAAAGTGTAAATAAAACGGTTATAACAGGAGCTTCAACTTACAGTTTACAACCGGCGCCGCCATCTTTAACGTCAATTTGGGGCCTGTGTTGATCGTCCGACATTCTGAGTCGGAAATCCGACCTCGACGTCCGTTCCAGTTGGAAGTTCCGACTAGGAAGCTCGTAAATTCCTACCTCCGGGAACAAATTGAACGCACCATATGTTGACAGTATTTTAATTTAGCCCATTGTTTTGCTCTGGAGACTAGCATCAACTTTGTTTGTCTGTAATAAGTTTAGGTAACATGACTTTAATTTTTGTGAATGTTAGTCACCAATTGCTGATGGCATAGTTTGAGCAAATCTGTTGCGCCTTTTACTTATTTCTCGTGATTTTTGACATTCAAACCAGCCTGTAGTTTCATCCTGGGATTATACACTTTGACTCACAGTTTGAAACTTTAACCACGTTTGACATTTTGACTCAGTAAAACTACTAGTTGGATTTTGTTGGACTGAACTTATCATGACTTTCAAATTTGTCATTTTTTTGTTTTAATGTAACTCTGGTGAGACACTGACACAGGTAAGGAAAGAAAGAAAAAGAAAGCTGGTGAGACTGCGGTCTTGTTGTCTTCCTGCATGTGCGCTTCCGTGTTAGTGTCGCTATGGTAACGCGGGATGACTTCGATGACGTCGCTACCTCAAAGTTTGCCTCGTCAGTGCTGAGTGTGGCCCAGTGACATTCCTGTACTCACGCTGTTTGAACACTTGGATTCACTCTGAACGGATTAAACTGATGCAGGAGAGGAGGTCGAGCACGGCAGACCTTCATTAGACTTTTCATTCACCGGTACGTGACTTCCTGTTGTTTTCCAAAAGTCCGCTAATAACACCTGCGGGGTAAACTCAGCTGACAGACTCCACCTTACTGCGGCTGTTCGCCCTCAGTTAGCGGTGACGATACATTCAGGGGGACAACAGTCATTTAAAGTTCTGGGAGTACTTTGTGCAGGCTAAAAGCAAGTTTCGCAGTGAGGTATGAGTCTTTGTCTCAGGATGTTTCACAATAAGGAAAGTGTGCTCACAGGGAGGAAGCGAACACGTGTTTTGTCAAAACCGAAAAGTTGAAAATACACCTTGACATCTTCAAATGTCGTTGTATCTGAATAATGTGTTCATGTCTTACTTGTTTTATAAGTTTACTTGCAGTAAAATGTTGGACAGGTGTATTTGCAGAGTGCATTTCTCTGAGGTCGACCTCATGCAGCAGTTGCAGGAGTCTGATTTTGCAGGAGCTGTCGTCAACACTTTAAACGTACTTAAGATGTTGCATTTACAGGAGGAGAAACATCAATCTCCCCTAAAAGTAGCCTTTACTTCACTCTCAACTCTGTGCCCTAATATAACTTGGTTCAGCTTTAAGTCACTTGCAGCATGGTGGATGAAGATAGGATCAGTGTGGGTCAGATCTTAAATAGATCTTAAAATTTGAGACTAAATCTAATCTCATTTTGATGTTGGGTCTTAATAGGCTAATGCGAAGTCTAGTCCAGCTGCATTTGTAAATTGTGTTGAGACATTTATAGTGACCTGGTGCTGTATGAATGAAGACTTATTGATTGATTGAATCATTATCAAAATGTACTTTGTGACAATAACAAAAAAAAAATTCCTTACATTTTAACCCCTGTGGTTAAAAAAGTTAAAAAATTGAAACGCAGAAAGAAAAATGAGGTTCTGCGGACAAGAGAGGACTTCCCTTCCCTCCCTGCATTGTATTACAAATTATTCTTTGATTGTGTTTCCCTTTTCTTAAAATGTGGTGCAAAAAAATAAACAAAAAAAAAGTTGTGAAATGTTTTGAAGTACATTACTTCCTTTTGCGAACATGCACTAGTTCTGTTTCGCAGTGAATCTGTAATGCAGAGAAAGTTGTGACATTTTCCAAAAATGAGCCAGAGTAATTGAAGGAACCTGTAACATTTGAAATCAGCTTTGACTTCATGTACATGCATCTACTCATGGTGTGTATATTTTGGGAAAAGTCATGCAGTATGGCTAATTAAGTTATTTTTCTATTTGTGGGAGAGTATACAGTCAAAAACCTTGTTTTCCATCTTAATAATGACTCCATGGTCACAGTATGTTGGTATATTTCATAGTGGATTTTGTAAGTCATGTGATTAGGTTTGGTTGTGACTCAGGAACCTTTGTCCGGGTTGGTTTTGATAAATTGTTTGCGTGCACTAGTTTTGCTCCCCAATTTTAGACCACAATCTGAAGGTTTCTGTTTCTAACTCTAACCAAAACCTCACTGTGGGTAGACTGGGTCTCTGAGTGCAGGTAGTGCAGCGGTGAAACTCAAACAGCTGTCACATGTCCAGTCATAACTCTGATAAGATGATTGCATGCAAAGCAGCGAGCTTAAGTATATTTACTCTCTTGACTTATAATTGATTGCAATGCATTGGAGTCACAGCAGTTACCCGTGAAATCATTAAGTGCTTAAGTTTGTTATAATCTGTTTGTTTATCACATGCCACCTGTCTGAACACACTCTCCAAGTTTTAACAGTGAGTCATAAACCTGTCTCTGGCATGTGTCCAACAGGACGCTGTGTTAGATAAGCTTTATGTGTTATCATGTGCGTGAAGACAAAAGCACGACATCTCTCTTCCCAGTAACAGCTCGTCTTGGTTTCCTTTCTTATTTCCTCTCTCAGTCCTCAGCTGCTCTATTGTTCACTGTGGTCAGGTGACTTTCCTTACGAGGTTTGGCTTGTGGTGCATTGCACAATGTTCAAACTTGAAGCATGACGCATTAAAAAATGCATTGAGGTTATTACAGTCTTAAGTTTTTTTTAATTAATTTTATTTGTTTTGACTGTTTTCATATAGTTTTAATCAGTATAGTGTACTTTTTATGTGTTAAATGCTTACTTTTAATGACATTTCTATTGGATGGACTTTTAGTTTCAGTTTATTTGTAATATAAGGTACTTGTCAGAAGTAAGACTGAGCCAGGGGACTAAAAAAGTGTTGGATAATCAAACCTTGGCATATTACTGTTTGAGAATAGGTTTTCAAATAGAAAAGATGAGCAAATAAAAACACTACCAAAGGACAAACCATAAAGAAGGTGTGAAGGAAATGAGCTCAAAACAACTAAAATGACAGTTTTTAAACTATTATTTTGGTGTTTTTTTCTAAGCACATCACAGACTTTCAGTTACACTTTGTATCTTTTTAAAGTCAAATTTATATTTCTTACCAATTTGAAACACATGTCTAGATCAGTCTATTTGCTCCCCGGATCCTGGTCTGGTTCAAAATGACTGTGCTGATACTGAGCCTTCACCTGATGCTTGTATCTCCCAAAATAAAGGGGCTGCGCACATTTTTTTTTCCACGCTGTGCAACAGGTACAAACTATCAGGCAGCTACATGTAGAGAGTGAAGAGGAGCAGAAGAAGAGCAGGGAGAGAAGCAGGAGGGGGCAGGTGTGCGTATCTGTGTGCCTGAAAAGCTGAGGGACAGAGTGAGTACTACAAGTGAAAGGCTGTAGAGATCAAACACTTCAACCAGCTAACGTCTGCTGGGCTAAAAAGTGAGAGGAATTGTTCAGAAACATAATAAAATAAAAGCCTAAGACTTGACTTAATAAAAGATCAGTGGAAGTTGGTGGAAGCTGCCATCTTGGTTTTGTATTAACACACTGCTCTTGTATCAATGTCTTAAAGCACCTACTCCCAATTTTAAAATAAAGGCCTGCGATTGGTCAGTATATCACTGCTGACACCACACATTATGACAAAACAACAATTTTTTAAAACTAACAAAAAAAAATTAAAATATTAAAAAAAAAAAAAAAAATCAAGTAAATGTAGATGAAACAAAATTTGGCTCTGTAAAACATCACCACAGTGACATTTTTTAATTCTGTCCAACTATCTAAACATTGTTAAGGAATTAAAACAATATGAAGTCAATATTGGGGTTAAAATAAAAAAGAAAGTCCTGGGCTGTGTCTGAAATGGATCCCTAACCCCTATTTAGGTGACTGTATGGGGGTTAGTGCCATTTTGAGGGGTGTCCAAAACCTCAGTGATCAATTCCAGTGCCCAATATAGGTGACTCAAAATTTCCCATGAAGTATTGCAAAATGTAGTGATGGTGGTGGGCACCCCGTCATGCATTGCGTCTTGCCATGAAGTGTCTGAAACCTCTGGTAATTGAGTTCACTACGTAGTCAAATATATAGTAAAACCCAATATGGGGGTTAGGGATTAGGGATTGAGTGATTCATTTCGGACACAGCCCTGCACAGAGTCATCATTCCACATTTAAATCTAATAACATGGTTAATTTAGCCTGTAATATGTATAGGGGTAAAGTATCTTTGCCCTATAAGTATACGGGCAAAGATTCTGGATACTGCTTAAATTCTACTATCATAATAGCATAATACTCAACTGCATTATGCTACACATCATAACAGAATTTATATAAAATACATTGACTTTTAGATTCAACATGGATGATTCGATCTGGGTGATGAGAAAAAATGTTTTATCAAAAAAAGTGATATTGGCCTTGTGAGGGCTGATGCAGATATGATGCCATTAATCAACCCAATTAATCTGCTGATTGACCTTAGGGATGGGCTGTGTGGACACAGTGATGAACTCAAACACCTCCCCGTCATTTATTTGGCCTCCTCGCTCTCCAAGATGTTTATCTATCCTATTAAAGTCTAGAGATTCTTGCTTTGGTGCTGCAGCCTTTTCCGATGTTGACCGTGCCGTGTTCCTTTGCATGTCTACTTAGTGTAAGTTGTGGAGGAGTGTTTGTGTGTGTCTGGGTGAGTGTATTTTTGTACCTGTGAGCATTACATCTGACTCCTCTGACCTTCTACTCCCCTCCTACATGCATCAGAGTTTCCTGTTTGTCTTGTACCAGCCCCCAGTATCTACATTTGCATGGGTCAACACGCCAACACACACGCAGACACACACACATACACACACTGTCTGGTGCTCTTGTTCATGAATCGACTTTGCCGACTCATGATGCACAACAACTCTCTGATCAGCACTCTTCCGAACCAGTGCACACAGAAAGTGTAGTGTGCATGAAACTCTCCCAGAGTGAGTCTTATCAGTCAATATTCACCCTCCTTATCCTCACAAAACTTCCTCTTCAGTTCTTGGATCAGTTGTCGGATGAAATCAATCTCTGAGCAAAGAGGAGAAGGAGGAAGGGCCATGAGGCCATGTCTCAGAGTGATCAGTGTATTAGAGAGCAGCAATGAACCTGATGAATAACTTGAGGCTCTGTGCACCATTTAGGAGCATCATTGTAATATAACTTTTATTTTGAGCAATGTACCACTTTTTTGTTGTTGTTGCCAAATAGACGGCCATGACAAGAGTAAGATGTAATTCTTGAACAGGTCAGTAAAGGCCAAAATGAAGATGAACAAATAACTCCAGAGACAACATACTAAACTCTCTGGCGCATAGTCACATAGTCTACAAACTCATAGTCCTCATGATCCATCTGTAAAGAATCGTGATGTGATTTTTGACAGCACTTAAAAGTTTGACTGACAGTTTATTTCAGCTGTAAAGGCAAGCTTTCTGCAGCTGAGATTGTTGGGAATGGAAACAGTTTTTAAGATTCATGGAGATGCAACAAGTAATGTGCCCTTAAATGCAGAATTTATGTCACGTCTTGGTGAGGAGTAGAATTTATATTACAAACATCTTTTTATGACAGAACCATGACCTTGTATCCTTTATTCATACTGTATTGACTACCCTACCTCTACTGACACATTTACACATGTATGAAAATAATTCAAGGGATATCTTAGTGCATTTGAAGTGAAGTACTAAGAGTTACATGCCATTAATTCATCACGGTGAATGTTGGTCAGCCTGGCCTCTTTTTTGAGAAACTGCTTGGAGGGCTGTTGTGCAAGCTACGCTTAAGTTTTCTTGAGACGGGGCTGACTCCGCCACATAATGTAGCAAATTTTTAGAGACCCGGATCTAAGCAGTCAACCTGGTTTAAGTTTACTCTCTACACTTTAGGTTCACCATCAGATGGCTCTTTTCTTTTGTACACACACACCTTTGAGTGGATGCAACAGGTTCTCTTGAATTGGTAATATCTGCTCTCTTTAGAGGTGTGTTATAAAACCTGAGAAATAGTTATGAGGTGATTGTTTTTGCTCTCAAATATACACTCACCGGCCACTTTATTAGGTACACCATGCTAGTAACGGGTTGGACCCCCTTTTGCCTTCAGAACTGCCTCAATTCTTCGTGGCATAGATTCAACAAGGTGCTGGAAGCATTCCTCAGAGAGCTTGGTCCATATTGACATGATGGCATCACACAGTTGCCGCAGATTTGTCGGCTGCACATCCATGATGCGAATCTCCCGTTCCACCACATCCCAAAGATGCTCTATTGGATTGAGATCTGGTGACTGTGGAGGCCATTTGAGTACAGTGAACTCATTGTCATGTTCAAGAAACCAGTCTGAGATGATTCCAGCTTTATGACATGGCGCATTATCCTGCTGAAAGTAGCCATCAGAAGTTGGGTACATTGTGGTCATAAAGGGATGGACATGGTCAGCAACAATACTCAGGTAGGCTGTGGCGTTGCAACGATGCTCAATTGGTACCAAGGGGCCCAAAGAGTGCCAAGAAAATATTCCCCACACCATGACACCACCACCACCAGCCTGAACCGTTGATACAAGGCAGGATGGATCCATGCTTTCATGTTGTTGACGGCAAATTCTGACCCTACCATCCGAATGTTGCAGCAGAAATCGAGACTCATCAGACCAGGCAACGTTTTTCCAATCTTCTATTGTCCAATTTCGATGAGCTTGTGCAAATTGTAGCCTCAGTTTCCTGTTCTTAGCTGAAAGGAGTGGCACCCGGCGTGGTCTTCTGCTGCTGTAGCCCATCTGCCTCAAAGTTCGACGTACTGTGCGTTCAGAGATGCTCTTCTGCCTACCTTGGTTGTAACGGGTGGTTATTTGAGTCACTGTTGCCTTTCTATCAGCTCGAACCAGTCTGGCCATTCTCCTCTGACCTCTGGCATCAACAAGGCATTTCCGCCCACAGAACTGCCGCACACTGGATATTTTTTCTTTTTCGGACCATTCTCTGTTAACCCTAGAGATGGTTGTGCGTGAAAATCCCAGTAGATCAGCAGTTTCTGAAATACTCAGACCAGCCCTTCTGGCACCAACAACCATGCCACGTTCAAAGTCACTCAAATCACCTTTCTTCCCCATACTGATGCTCGGTTTGAACTGCAGGAGATTGTCTTGACCATGTCAAGTTGCCGCCATGTGATTGGCTGATTAGAAATTAAGTGTTAACGAGCAGTTGGACAGGTGTACCTAATAAAGTGGCCGGTGAGTGTAGTTCTCTAACAGCTCATGTCATGCTCATGGTACGTCGGTCACTCCTCAGAGTCAGCTCACGCCCATTATGTTGTATGTTCTGATTGGCTAGCACTAAACATGACAGACAGGTTACCCATCCAATCACTCTCTAAGGTTTTCTTCATGGTTCTGCCTTTAATAACCACAGTCTAAAGGGTTACACCCACAATAATGAGAAATAAATCCACGTGAAACAGTCTATCAAGTTCTCCTTGGCTTTGTTTGACTTTTTTTAGCCTTGATTTATTGACTTATCAGACATTTCAGTTAAATTTATGATTTGCTTTTACAATGAGTACTAATTTTATTATAGTATGCTGTGATTTATTTGTTGAGTGCATGAGTACCTTAGTTTTGAAAAGTGTGATTTAATTAAGTTTGTCTTCTACTTCAGCTCTAGAGGTTGTGATAACTGCTCACACTAGAGCTTCTCTTTCATTTTTTTGCTTTAAAGTAATAAATAAATAAATAAATGCTTCTTACTAACCCTGCAGAAGGCTGTACTTATTCAAACTGAAGATGCTCCTCCTATCTCTCTCAAAGGTTTCATCGACTTGTTAAAGAGGCAGTTGCTAAGAGATGACCATGGGCCACACGTGTGACATCCTCTGCTGTGGAGCAGCCTGAAGCTTCGCTTCTCCAGGATCTCTTCTCTCCAAATCTCTGAGCACCTGGCTCATGTGAAGGACACGGAAAAACGCTCTCAAACCAAGAGACTCACAACGACCATGGCAGCTTTTACTGCTCCGTGCGCCACTGCTGACACCACGACCAGATCTGTGCGCTGGACATCATGGCAAAAACAAGGGAGTGAGGAAGAGGAGGGTAAATGTGAAAGTGAGGACATGACACAGAGGACAGTTCTGGAGAAAACTCACGAGTTCTTCCAGATGTGTGACATTGAGAACAAGGGCTTCATCTCGCGGCGGGACATGCAGGTGAGACAGCTACTAGTTAAAGAAAGAAAGAAAGAAGATTTGCTGCATGAAAGTTGTTAAATAAAAGATCCAATGTGAGAAAATGTCACCCCAATAACAGAAACACTCTGTGAGTAACTTTAACAACTTGCAGGAGTATTAAATGGACAAAGCAGCCTCAGCATTTGAGCCATTTTTTTCCCCCCACTTTTCTCTTTTCATTGCATTTAGAGTAAAGCGCTCCTCATTGACACAGAATGAGTCTGTGTGTGTGCTCATTAGTGATTCTCAGCAGTGTGGACATGTGCACCTTATTCAACACGGCATGAAAGAGCCTGAGTCACAGAGAGCCATGCAGACTCTTTGTCTTGTAACTCCTCCACTCACATTATTGTGCAGATTCACTCGGCCCTCAGATGTGCGTCCCCGCTGCGGCTAATCCTTTGATGAAGCACTCGTAGGCTCTCATTCGCTGAGCATAAACACACTTTGATCCGGTGTTTATGGAAATAGATTGGACATGAAATGAGGAGAAAGACATCAGCCTGTCCTTTTGGTTTGTATTTCTTTATGACTAGAATCTACACTTTTCAGAAGTGCTTGTTAACTTGTTTTAAACTCTCTATACAACCCTCAAAGGTGGTTACATGATTGCCTCTGCTCGCCCTCAGTGTTTACTTCACAGTTTAGGAGTCCGTTTCTCACCCTGACCACAAACACGCTGGCTTTACAGTCCTGCTGTTTGCTGACATGAGGGATGTGCTCTGCTCAGATAACGCTCTTTACAGGACCAGCTGAGAGAAGCTCTCCCTCCCTGGATTGTCTGGGTGGCCTCGGCCAACATTTAAAGCCGTGCAAACACGCATAAAAACCCAAGCTGCTAACAGAGGTGTGGCTGTGTTGGCTTTTCTTGCAGATTGTCCTGTGTTTTCTGTCATGGTCAGGAGGTTTTGTTTGGCAGTTTTCAATCTGTTGTCCATCCTTTGGGCTAACCCTCTGACTAAGGTCGAGCCGCACAAGCCTGACTAGAAAACCCACCCTGAAGTTAAGCCTAAAGCTTAGATTAATGGTTTTAATGTGTGTGTAGGTGACTTTATCATAAACTGTGGGTAAAAACAAGAACGAGTCAGGGTCTTTGTCACCCTGAAGGGGGTCCAATCCATTGCAACACCCTGCTCACTATACATCATACAACTTATTATCCAGCTACTAATCGAAATATTTAACAAATGACAAAACTTGGGTCTAAAGATGATTTTAGGGATGCTGTGATTCTAAAATTTACTTATTGTCACATTATCAGATTTTACCTCACAAATATCATGGCTTTAAGGTATCATGATAACAAAATTATCACAATATTTACCAGCTCTGTGACCAAAATACTACTATCCATCATAAAACAATTGTTTATCTTACTTTTCCTTGACATTTTCGGTCTTCCTTATTTTCGGACATTTTATTCTGAAACTGTGCATTTATTTTGACGTACCGCTCAATCTCATTCTCCTAGACGGACTTCTTAGCATATTGCTGAGAGAAAAAAACAAAACAGGTGTAGGCTACAGGGGTCCGTTTCACGTAGGTGGTTCAACAAACTCTGAGTTAAATCCTTAACTCTGAGTTGATCTACTCTGAGTTAGGAAACTCTGAGTTTCCGGTTTCACAACACTTGATTTGAGACGGTTTTAACAACTCCGAGTAGTTTGACCTGGAGTTTAGCACGTGCACGCCAGACATAAACAGCCAGCATCTGTGGAGCGCAGATTCAATGATCAACCAATGGAAACAGGGAGAAGGAGGGGGCAGCAGCAAGCCAACAGCGAATTACAGCACGTTTTTAAAAGAAAGTGCAATACAGCAGCAGCTGCAAAGGAGAGGGAGAGGGCATGGAAGGAAATCGCTGCTCGCGTCAATGCGTAACTTTAAATCTAAGCTGCGTCCGAATTGCCAAGTAGTAGTCGAAGTAGTAGTCGAAGTAGTATCTAGCATGTCCGAATTGGCCACCGGAGCGAGTAGCATGCTACTTCAGATACTACTTCAGACGCTAGACACGCCCACATTGTAGGTTGGTCTCGGTGCATCCTACGGGCATGCTACTGACCCAAAATGCACCGCGGGCTTCTTCTTCGTCCTCTTAAAAGTTGTAGAAGCGCATGTGATGCTAGCGCCACCAGCTGCTCTGCCTATTTAAAAGTGTCGCGAACGCCGGCTGGCCACAGCAGCGCGCACCATGTCGGAGCAGCAGCAGCAGCAGCAGGCGGGACCGCAGCAGTACAGATGTAAGTTTCATGTAACTTGATCGGACCGGCCGCGATCGTCGAACGGGGAGGGGTGGGGGGCAGCTCCTTTGCCGCCGTTAAAGGTGGGGCTTGCCCGTTAATATTCCTAATCATTTAACGGAACATAATAAGAGAGTAAAATTCAGTTTTGAGTGTGAAAAGAGCATTTTTTTAAGGGATCAAACTGCCACTTAATACTTACTTGACAATGTAAAACATGATCAAAATGAGAAAATGCCGATGTCTCACCTGAAACTCTGGGTTTACTGAGTTAAACCTGGGGCCTGTTCTACGAAGCAGGTTCAACTTAGCGAGGTAGGCTTGGAGCTACCTCGCTCAACTTAGCGCGGTAGCCAGCGGTCTCGCTAAGCGGTTTTACGACGCTGGTTATCAACCTCATAAGTGGATCCAGCTCTGCTATGAGCGCGTGCACACATATAAGGCGGAGCCCGCCGCATCTGACCAATCGCGAACATGGATCAGTCTGGAGCGTCAGAGCAGGCTGGAGAGTGAAGGACCATGGACTTCACAAACGAGGAACAGGAGACGATCATGAGAAAGTATGAAGAATTAAAAGCTACCATAAACCTCAAAAGCAACACCGTCGCCGCTACAAAAGCACGGAGGGAATGCTGGCAGAAAAGTAATCTTTGATGTCATTATCACCCTGAGATAGCACTGTTCAACATGCGCTTTTAACTAAGGTGACAGTCCCCGAATTGGATGATCTGTCCCCGGCTAAAGCTGTCCCCGAAAATGTCCCTGATTTAAGCGTTTCGTGAATGAGAACAAAAATGTTGCATGTGGGCTCGAACAACGGTTGTTACAGTGGGTAGGAAGCACAAGTAAGCAGTCCTGAACAACAGTATTTACGGGGTTATTATAAGGGGCGTGCGCTGCTACTAAATAGTACCGAGATGTTGTCTGTGATCGCGCAGCCCATGCCCATTCATTCCCAAGATGAATCATTCATTTGTTCATTCCTATCGTGTTTACATGTTTTGTGTAATATGTCGGCCATATGAGCCTTTCATAAAGGTGGTCATCCGGAGAAAACTCTCCCTGTAAACTCTCGCGAGCCGGAGTGCTCCTCCTCGGACAATGCGAGCACCGAGGTCTACAGGATCCTCCAAGAACGGACAAGCCGTTTTTCGAGAGAGCTCATTGGTCAGTGGGCGGGGTTTTTATACTCGGTGAGTGCAATCTGGAACTTAACCTGCCCCGGGGCAGTTTAGCCGTTCAGCGTATGTTGCTATGGAGACTCGCCTCGCTAAGAGGTGAACCCGCGTCGTAGAACAGGAAACCCCGAACTTATCCTCAAAGTTACCTCGCTAAGCAGTAATCCTGCTTCGTCGAACAGGCCCCAGGTTAGGTTCACGGAGTCTGTTACTGTGGTAACTGACCGCGAGGTTGAGTTACCTCTCTTTGTGAAACAGGTTAGAGTTACCCCTCTCTCCCTGGTTTAACTAACCCTCCTTTGTGAAACGGAAAACTCAGGGTTTCCCTGATTTCAGGATTAACAAACTCGGAGTTTCCATTAAACCTGCTACGTGAAACGGACCCCAGGTGTGTCAAGGCTTTTAGATTTGTATAAAATTATTTGCTAATGCTAAGAAACTTATTTTTCAAGCACCAATGTTCTATGCTTGTAGTTACTGTCTTTTTTAAGAATAAATTCTATATTTTGGCATTTATTTCCCCTCCACTCTTTCAGGCTACCCCTGGTAACCCTGTGGACATATCACTATGCTATGAACTATGGGTAATTCCCTAATGCAAAGTCTGCAAAGATGCCCACTTGTAGGGAGGCTGCATAAAGGGCTCAAAAAGTCTGCTAGAGACCCTACAAACTTAGCGAGTACGCAGCTCTAAGTCAGTGAGCGTGTATGGGTGGCTTTTGCGATTTAACCTTTGTCTGGTAAATCTAAGATAAGATATGATAAGAATAACTTTATTGATATAAATATTATTATAAATTATTGATATAAATCTGAGTTTACAGGAATGAATAAAAACTGTGAAAAGAATGGTTAGAAAGTATAAACATTAATTTGATAAGTGAGTTCTTGTGTTGTTTTTGGATCCATGATTAATCATAGATTGTTGGTCTTTAAAAGTGTCTAATCATCTATAAGGCGGCTGCTCCAGCCAGCTCACCAGCAGCTGCTGCTGCTTCTTTGTATGCCACCTGCCATAGACTTGCTTCAACTGTATGATGGCAGGTGTAACATAGCGTGAGAGACCACTATTATGAACTTAAAATGTATACCTTCTTGCACAATATCAATATTTTCTGTTTAAAAACAACTGGTATTGTGACACTGGTACATTGGGACAGCTCTATATCAACTCTAGTTTTGATGTGGTCTGGGGAGGCCTACGATTACAGCCATCACCTCGCCCTGATCAATTATGTCAGCTATCATAAGCTGAGCACAAATTATGGTACAGTGCAAACACGGGAGTAACTTTGCATAAACAACTTCCTGAACCTGTGACTCAAAACAGTCCAACAGCTTTTTGCCAGCTATGCAATAAGATCATCTGGTGATGTGGTGACAGCAGAGCAGCGATCAATTAAAAACACAACATGTAACTGAATATGTTATTCATAGGAAAGTCTGCTGCATCAAAGCAACAAAAAAAAAAAAAACTCTAGACTTGAAAAGGGAGGATAAATGTCTTTGAGAAAGCAAAAAAGTGTGTTATTAAGAAATCAAGAGTGTCTTCACTTGGTCTTCTCTTGGTCTCACACCGGGCAGACTCTGAACTTTGAAGAAGACTGGTGAAGACCAAAACTGGCGACCAGGGTGAGAAAGGTTGCATGGAATTGTCTGAAACTTTTCAGACACTTTTGTAGACAAACTTTTACAGAATTTAAATACTAAGTCATCTCTGCTCCCCATAGACACTAATACAAAGAATTTCTGAGAGAGGCAGAAGGGACTCCCATTTATAACTTGCAAGTATGTCCAAACCTTTTACTGTAGAAATATCAACTTCATAAGTGTTCAGGAAGTCCTTACGATGACCACAGTCTGCTTTTTTTTTTTTTTTTCTAATAGGAGCTACCGTTTTTTCGGAATAAGCCCAAAAGTGAGACCAGCACTTAGGGGGGAAAAGTCCACCCTTTTCTGTGCATCTATCATTATGGGCAACCAGCTCAAGTTGCTGTAGCAATTTGTGAGCCTCAGGCCAGGCCCACAGCTGAGACCAGTTTACTAATCAGGGACTGCTCTGATATCTCTGCATCATTGAATTACTTTTAGAGCAATTTGATTAACGATAAAAAGCTGACTCTCAATCAGAATCCTTATTAGCGCCACAGGGATATGCACAGAGGAACTGACCCCTATACAATAGAGATGCTATAAACTTAACAGCATGCCCCATACAATAAAGCCTAAAGCCCTGAGGCACTGTTGTAGCTTGAAGGATTGTGGGGCAAAGTAAATATCAAAATGTGCAGTTTGATTGGGATCTTTGAGCGATTACTTTTCTCTATTGTATTTCAATAGTATTAATTATTTGATACTCAAGAATCTCATCATAATGAGCACACCTTGGCACACTATGCAAACTAACACACTCAGCAGTGTTCGGCAGTGCACAGCTCATAGCTGGGACCACATCAGACATTTACCATTACCTCCTCCAGTCAAAAAATGTCCTATTACACTTATCCACCTGACATGTCCAGATAATCACTGTATTTTAAGATTTAAAAAAGGACACGTTGAGGCGTTTATTGCTTCAAATGAGAATATGAACCAAGCAGAAATACAATCAAGTCAAAGACACATTTCAAGAACTTAAACTAAACTTTTTGCAGCGGCAGCTTTTCTTTTTTTACACTTGCAGGCAGTGCAGGCCTTTTTTGTTTTTGCTTTCTATTTTCAGAATAAAACACTGATCTAAACTCATCAGATAAATGTGCCTTTTGATGTGTAGGCTATCATGGTATTTTTAAACATAGAGTTATACGAACAAAATTAAGAGATCCAAGATTTTTTCAGTGGCTTTTTTTATGCTTTTATTGTTATTTTGATGGGATTTTGTTGCTATTTAAAAAAAAATGTTTTGGTCTTTTTTGCTTATTAGAGATGTATGATATTGTTGGCATACTATAGGTATCAGCATAATACCTTTTGAGTTGGTTATCAGTACTGGCAGATATGAGCATTTCTCATTATTGGCCAAAAAAAGGACAGACAATGACCTCTTATGCACACCAGCATGTCCCCTCTGTGAAGTGTTATGAAGCGTGCAAACAGACAAGAGACTTAAAACGTAATGTCTTCATTTTAATAATGCATTTATCATTCATGGCAGAGTTACATAGTGTATTACAATTTGAATAAAGTGGCCTTATGATGATCCGCATGTCCTTTGAGGAGGACAGCGCCGTTCCTAACACAAAGATAATCATTACGTGAAATTTAGTCCGAACAATGTGAGTGCTAAAAACAATCCACTTGTTGAAGCCTGTGATTCACATCCTGTGGTATAAGAGTGTTATTAAGGCTAATTTATTCTATTTTGAGCTACTTGCTGTGTTTGCTCCATGGTGACTGTCCTCCAGCAGCAGTTGTTATAGCTACAGATGCTAAATGTCCTTGAGCCTTTGTTCTGCAGCAGTAGCAGCTGTGTTTTCTGTTTTGTTAAATAGAGGCTGAACGGCCGGCTCCCTTTCAGTGCGGAGGAGCTGGAGAACGTGTTTGATGTCCTCGATTCTGACAGCAATGGATACCTCACTCTGGACGAGTTCTCTTCGGGCTTCAGTATGTTTTCAGTCCATTAAAACAGAGCGATCAGAATCACCACGGCCTGCTGTCTGATGTTTGGATTGTTCATCAAACTCTTAAAATTTTTTTCAGGCGACTTTTTATTCGGCCAGAGGATTCCTGTAGAGGAAGACATGGGGGAGAAAAACAGAGGTGTGAGTCCTCCAGAGGTCTTATACCAGAGCCAGAGGCAGGAGAGTTTGGTTACAGGAGAAGAAGATGAAGAGGAGGAACATTTCAGCATGCTGATGGACAGCCTGGGAGCCAACAGTGTCTTTGAGGAGTGAGTACAGTGTGTTTGAGTGTGTGTGATTTCAGTGAAGTTAGGCAAGCTTCAAATCTTTGTCAACACCTCACAGGAGCACATTTCCAGTGTTTAGCCTGCGACTTTAATCAGCTGTGCAAACTGACCCAGAGTCTGAAGTTTCCACTGCCTGCTTTTGAACAGAGTTATACTCCAATAGGAAATGGACATTTTCAGCATTTTCACAAAATTAAATCTGAGTTATGATATCGAATTATGAAGACAGATGCAGTGATTTGAAGAATGTTAAAGTCAAAAATGGTCAAAGCTGCTGTTTCAGAAAGACTGGATTTGATTGCTGCGTTATTCTCACAAAGAGTTTAAACACCGATACTTGTATCAGAGGTTTTTATGTCTGCTGCATCTGGTTAAATCAGCATAACTGCTGCAATATTAATAGTAACTTCATTTGTATAGCACTTACAAGAATAGGGATTTACAAAGTGCTGTGATACTTAGCATTGGCATAAGAAAAAGTAGCAAAAGCAAAAGTTTTCTTGTTGTTTTTCTCATCATTGTCATTACTGGACTCCAGGGTTTATAAGAGTGTAGGGAGGTTCCAACACACCTGATTCAAATGATCAGCTCGTTATTAAGCCATTGCAGAGCTTGATAACGAGCTGATCATTTGAATCAGGTGTGTTGGAGCAGGGAAACATACAAAACATGCAGGACAGTGGGCCTCAAGGACTGGACTTGAGAACCACTGGTCGGAGGGAACCTGTAATAATGATAGGGCAGTAAAATGCAGTTTTGTTTTGTCTTGTTGTGGTTGATTTTTGAAAGTCTGACTCTAAAGCCTTTGCCCCTGCCTCGCCCCATTCACATTGAGAGCAGGTTAACGCAAAAAACTGTCATCTTTCTTATGCTCGTATATCTTTGAGGCTAAAAACCTGATTCATTTTACAACTGTACAACTGTATCAGGTGGTCCAAACTGATTGCTGACCAACTGTGATTTGTTGTCAGACTAGTAACTCTAAAGGTCTTGATTCTTGCTCTACAGAAAGAACTTTAAATAAGTTAAAAATCCTGAGATTCATTGATCGTTTTGAGTTTTCTGTCTCTGCATTAATATTTCACTCAGACTCTTTGGTAGCTCTGGAGTTGAGTCTGTTTGGGCATTGCTTTGTGAGACAGAAAGACATTTGATGACAGGATCTTCCAAGACGCTTCACTAGACTCACCTTTAGCAAACAGCTCCAGGTCAATAAGAGCAAACAGACGCTGAGGTGGATGCCAGATTTACACATCCTTTTGGCCTCTGTTCACCCGCTTTGCTCATGCTGATGATTCACATCGGATCAGTTTGTGCAGCACTGACAGATGTTCATATCAAGCTAAGCTAAAGTAGAGCTGCGTACATATTTCTGTTATCATGCTAATTCAAATATTTGTTTCACTGTTAACTAGTTTGTCAGTGCAATGGAGTCACAATGCAGATCTTGCAGCAGAGTGACGCATTTTAAAGGACATTGTAGATTTGAACCAAAAAAAAAAAAAAACATCCAAACCAACTTTAAACTCTTACATAAGCAGTTTTTGTAGCTCTTTTAACTCTGTCAGCTAAAGTAAACACGAATGTTTCAGAGTTTTAATGTCATACAGCCAACAGAAGGTGCAAGACTGTAAATATCTCCCTTCTCCGCATTAAGATTCTCAAAGAGTCATTAAAAATTTAAACCTCTCTTTGTCTCATCAGTCCTGCAGAGGTGCGCAGCTTATGGGCCCAGCTGCAGCGGGATGAACCTCACCTTTTGTCCAATTTTGAAGACTTCCTGGCCAGAGTGACATCCCAGATCATAGAGGCCAACCAGGAGAAGAAAGAGATGGAGAGCGCTCTCAAAAGGTCAGAGGGAGAGACATGTTCATGCTCTTTATTTGAAGTCATTAATGAGAAGTCTTCAAGTCTTCCCTAACAAGAAGTTCCTCTAAGTGAAATAAAGAAAAATGTTACTACAGCCATACTGAGGCTTTTATTGGGCGGTTCTCATCCTCAACTATTTAATATTGCATATTAGGTGGTTTTTAATGCAACATTTGCAAGGAACAAATTGTTTTATGTGTACAGAAAAGTAGCAACACACGGTGACGAGATCCAGCATCTTTACGAGGAAATGGAGCAACAAATCAAGAATGAAAAAGAAAGGATTGCTCTGCAGGTACAAACAAGTTTCTGAAACACTGTTTAATATTTGATTAAATCTTTGTTTTTTCCATTTTGTTTGAGTTTCCTTTTTTTTTTGCATTGCAGGACCATGAGCGGTTTCTGTCTCGCCGTCGGGATCTGGAGCTGCAGCTGTCCGGTAAAGAGAGGGAGCTGGAGCAGCTCAGTCAGAAACAGAGGAGGGTGAGTGTTCAGGGGAATTACACACACACACTTTTCTTTAAGAGAGGAGTTAGCAAAAGGTAATCCTGATGATGTACAGTAGTAACACAGCAAATAATTAACTGCACATCATCCAACACAATGACAGACTCATTGTATGTGCTGTGAATCTAAGTCAGTCCTTTGCATTTTCAGGATTCACAGGAAAAACTACTTTCAATGAAAGCGTATCCATCGAGTTTGAGTGACACTAAATTTTTACCTCAGGGGATGATTGAAAGTGTGTCCACTTAAGGGGACCTTCGAATTAGTAAAATATGATGACTCATCTTTCTTGTTTGACCGAATACATCCAACATTTTTTTTTTTTTTTTAACCAATAATGATTCTTTTTGCCTGTTTTGGTTTACACACATTTTTGCAGCTATTAGCATTTTTTTGTAATAGAGAAAAGCATTAAAGGAAAAAAAAGCCATTTAAACAAGAAATGAGGTGGCACATAATTAAGGGAGTGTTAAGGGTAAAAATAAAAAACTGATAATCTGCTTTTAAGATGATGTATCCTGCTGAATGAGTCAATATCAACTTCACTAAAAATGTCATTTATTTTCCAGCTTTTGTAAAAAAACAAACCAATCTTTTAATCCAGTCAGTATTTTCATCTAATTTAGTAAACAGTAGTTACCATCTGAATGAAAGGCTCCCATCCTTCAACAGTCACACAACTTAAAGGACTTTTCCCGATCAAAATTGAGTAAATATGAAATGCAAATGAGACAAATGCAGAGACATAATGTCATATAGGAAAAAAAATACAATCACGATAGCATGGCAGTTCAGGCAATGTTGGGCATGGTGTTTAGGAGTGTAATATTTCACGATAGTAAACACAGTGTAAGTGTACATGGCATGGTTTAATAAACTGTACATTAAAACTGGTGTCCACCTCTCCATCTGCAGCTGGAGCGTCAATGTCAGGACCTCCACAGTGAACATCATGAGACGAAGGAGGAGATTGTGAAACTGAAGCAGACGAACGATGAGTTAACCCGGGAGCTGGAGCACACCAGCCAAGAGCTGATGTTAGCTCAGGACCAGCTGAGTCTGCTGCAGGAGCAGTCCACACGGCTCCATGAGGAGAAGGAGATGTGAGTTTCAGTCCTTTCTGTCTACTCAGACTTTCTTATACATCCACGCCTCATCATCCAGACCATCTATGAGGGTGGGCCTGTTGGAAAAGAGACCCAGCTCTTATGCTCATTGGTCTGGATTCAATCACATGCTGAAGGTGACGATAGAAGGACAATGTGTCAGAGCAATAAACACTATATTTGCACCTGACTGTTTCAATGGATGGTAACATAGACTCTGTTTATACAGTGTTTATTATACAGGCGACATTGTCTTTGATTACAGGGAAATCTACAAAGAGACTGAGGGACTTCAACGAGAGAGAGCCAGCCTCCTCAAACAGCTGGACCTGCTGAGGTATGGATCTCGAGAGGATGATAAGTATCCCCAATCCAAAAGCTTCCTGTTAATGAGGAACCATGTGACCAGCAATGGTTCAGTCTTTTATTGTTGGCAACCAGAATAATCAAAGTCAAAACTTTGTTTTTGTGACAAAGGAATAAACTAAATATGTGTAAATATCCTCTCACCCTGTTTTTTTTTTTTGTTTGTTTTTTTTACAGGGAAATGAACAAACACTTACGGAATGAAAAGGATATTCGTTACCAGGTACAGACCATAAATTATTACACACAAATGTTAATGATTCAGCTGAAACAGACCTGTGAAGAAACTTGCTGGAAATGTATAAAACTGCTATATTTTTCTCGTTGTCATTCTTGAGCTGATGAGCTGACCCCTGAATTTGAATGAATCAGCCCTTTCTGAGTTTGATTGATTGCTGTGATATTCAGATGAACATGAGGAGGGTGTTTCTTTTATGCAGAGACAAGAAGAGTTAAGGTGCAGTGTGGAGGAGGTAGTTGTGTGAAGCAGAACAGACTGGATGGGCTTTCATAGGGATTTCCAGGGTACAATATTTGGCACAATGCTAAAAAAAAAAAAAGGGGGGGGGGGTCTTTAAAATATGCTGTTTCTTGCTCTGAGTACCTGGTGGAGACCATCCTGCTTTGGTGGGTTAGCTGCCCTCATTTTGTTTGAGTGTCTGTGTAACTTTGGCCGTGGTTAGAGCTGCTAATGTATTGGACTAATGATCGGAGTGTAGACTTCGGCTCCAGGGTCTTTACCAACCTTCTGAATCCTCATCCTCATCATTGACAACTGACAATATTATGGAGGTGCAAGGACATAAACAATTCCTCGGGACTCTTTTAGGCCTAATTTTTTTCTTTACCTTACATCTTCTTGAATCTTTTTGGGGTCTCTGCGTCTTGGTACTGTCTACATATCTTCTTCTGTTTGTTCGTCTGTCACCTTTTTATTTCTTCATGAGGAAAACAAACTTCAGAGCCTTTTGTTTTCTATACTGACCTCCTCTTGAGGACAAAACAACACATTTTACAAGAAAGACCCACCGTTTCCTATCGTCACAGATCCATAAGACACTCTTTTGAAGAATCACCTGAATATTTAAGTCCTTTTGTTTTTATCTAACAAGAATGAGCCGCCATCTTGCACTACCCATTGCACAGAAAGGGCATTTTTGTAGACAGACATTTTTGTGTTTAGTGAATCGCTGCACGAAATTCAGCAGTTGCAGCATGATGGAGAGTGATTGTTGTTGTTTGCAGAAGAATTTGAAGACATCTTTGAGGGTAAAAAACGACAACTGAAGGATTATAATTATCATGCATCACAGGAGCTTCTTGTACTGAAAGGCCACCTTTGCTTCACCATTAGGGGGGGACCAAGAGAGTCGTAAAATCGGAAGATTCAGACCTCACTGTTGCATTTTATACGCAGTACCTTTCAGCACAATTTCACCAAAAGTCAAAGATCCAAACGTCTCTTGTTACTGGTGATTTTTCTGAGAAGATGTTTTTGAAAATTTTGCGTAAGTGAAACCTTTTTGGAGCAGATTTGTTGCAGCTGCAGTAGAAACATGCAACTTTGTAATGACATAAAATGAACTGCTGGATCACTGAAATGTTCTCTAGTGTCTGGTGCACCCCTGAGGGTATGGCCCTTAGCATGCATGATGTGCAAATAACATAGAGTCAGTCAATCGATCAGAATGATAAGAATTAATTTGCAACATTACTTGAATACATGCTGTAAAATGGATGAAAATGTCTTTTGTTTCTGCACGAAGAACTCTGAGCAAGCACCAGGTGTGAAGCAGAGGTTGTCAATCAACGCTGTGAAACTCAACACCAGTAACATGAAAAGGTAAAAACCATTTTCATAAGATATGCTGAAAAGAGAATCAATCAGTCTCTATCTACCATGGACTTAAATGCTACTTTGTACCAACAGTGTGGATGAGGAGCTGACTGTGAACTCTCGCAGACACAGCCTGACAAACGGCTCATGCCAGAGGAGAGGACACCTCCAGAGGATCATCTCCATCGAGGAGGACCACCTCCCGCATTTACTGCAGATGGACCATCAGGTTCCGAGTCTGCTGCAGGAGTGCAGTGAAGGAGAGGAGGCCACAGAGGAGGATAACGACATAGAGCTGGTGATGAGTGACATTATTCCTCCTGCGTCCTCCACCCCGCAGCAAGAGCAACAGAAGTCAAAGAGAGAGGAGGGGGTTACCCCGACATTCCCGAGGGGTCAGCCTGTCGGCAAAGATACCAGTGTAGACGTGAGTAACAGAAAAGTGAACATCTAGTGACAAACTCTATATGGGTGACTTTTAAGATCTAAAATGAATCAATGTACTGTGGATTAGCTGAGGGGTAGTAGACAGGGAGATGATCCTGCTCCTATTAGCATGCACTCTTCACTTTGTTGACTTTTGCAGCTGACATTGATAGTACAGTTTTACTTTCCATTTTTTAAAACTGTTATTCTTCTTTCATTTCACTTGATTTTGCTCACAAGTTAAAAATAAAGATATTAATAAACGTGTGAACAATAATCCTGTTTTTGATTTTTAGGATGGAAGTCCCTCGCCGCTGAACCGTCTCTTTAAGATCGTCTTGGTCGGGAACTCCAACGTAGGAAAGACGTCCTTCCTCCGACGGTTCTGTGATGACTGTTTTAATCCTGGCACCGCCACCACTTTGAGTGTGTACCACGTGTTATGCAAGCACACACTTCAGTTCCTGTGAGCAAAGACAGCAACACACCCAGTCCTGTGGTTGACCTCAGGCTCTCTGTTTGCTAACAGAGCAGTTTAATTACAGCAGACAGTTTTAACAGCCAAGAAAAAAGTGTGAAAATGAGAAAAAATTTCTGTCCTTCAGACCACAGAGCAGAGTCAGCTAAGACAGCACCCCTAAAAGGACTGTATTCAGACTTATGCTGTCATGATATAACACTTAGCTTTCCTAGCAGTCATATATACTGTAGTCCTGCCTGTGTGCAGTGTGACTCACAATAATATGAACGAGTAAACATCCTAATGCAATCATCAAACAGTGAGTGTTGGCTCGGATGTTTGTCAAGTCTGCATGGAGAGAGTAAAGCTGAGACCCACATAAAGCGAGCTCAAAGTCCAGTTCACACAGATTAAAATGAACGAGTTCATATATATATATATTTGTGTATATATATATATATATATATATATATATATATATATATATATACAGTACATATATACATATTCACGGTTTAGCTCACATTCTTTGCTTTTAGGTTCTTTTACCTCAGAGTTAAGCGGAAAATCTGCTTTTGACAAGCTGTCTTTACATGATTTCATCTTGTGGTTTAAAGGTTTTTCACAATGTTCAGTATGTCGACATCTATCAAACATTATACTTTTTTTTACTTCGCAAACCTTGTTGGATTAAAACATTTAGTTTCAGCACTCAAAAACTATTCTTCTCTAATTCAACAACAGTGAGATTTGATCTTGTATTTCTATACAGAGAAAGTGAAGGACATCAGATACAGGTCTTTAGAATTAAAACCACCATAATAAAACCTCAAATATCCTTACAAAAGTTACTTTCAGTTAAACTTCAAGTTAAAGCAGTTCCTTTTATAAACGTAGAGTCCCTACCATCAGCTGGGTGTGGGTGCAGGTCTCAAACAGCAGCCTGTGAATATTGATTGTTATGATGAGGTGCTGAGATTCATTCGGTTTAGCAGAGTGTAGACTTGAATTCTAATGCCGACTTTATGGAGGAATATAAACATTAATATAACAATGCCAACAGTGTACGAAGAACTGCATAGAGTATGATCAAACTGGTCATTTGTGATGGGTGTGTTTTTTTGCAGGTACATAGTCTTGCCAGTTTAAATCACCATTATATGCTTGCCCATCTTTAATAAGCGAAAAGTTCCTATTTTAAATGTATTCACATGAATAGACAATTAAAAAAGGATAGTAAATGTATGAAACAAAAGTCTGTGCTACACCTCAAAGATTTTCAATACAGCACAATAACTTTATTGATCTCCAAAGAGAAATTCATTTGTCTGGAATCTCATCTCATCTGCTATCTATAAAAGGATAAAACAGTCTGATGGTTGTTGGTACAAAAGATCTTCTTGTTGTAATTTTTTATTTAGTGTATTGATTTTCACATCCTATGTTCCTCAAACTGTGCACAATAATCCGAACGTGATCTCTAACATGATGCTCCCTGTGCATGCAGGTATAGATTACACCGTCAAGACAATAACAGTGGACGGCAGCCCAGTGGCGCTGCAGATATGGGACACAGTAGGGCAGGAGAGGTGAGACTTCAACAAAGACAAGACAAAGGAGTAAAACCAACCTTTATAATGATGTTCACATGAAGCAGCTGAATCCAGCAGCCAAATAGTGGTTGAATAAGGAACATCATTTCTTTGGAGTCGTTTTGGACGCTTTCCTGATTCTGTTTCTTCCTCCTGCTGCAGGTACGGGAGCATCACAAAGCAGTTCTTCCGTAAAGCTGATGGCGTGGTGGTGATGTACGACATTACAGCCGAGCACAGCTTCACCGCCGTCAGACAGTGGTTGACCAGTGTGAAGGTAAGGTACGACAGCAACAGTCAACCTGTTACTGTTGTACAGGGTTAAAAAACACAGAACCAAGTTTGTTTCAGTCTGTTTGAAACTAAAACTTTTAGAAAACAGGAAATATGTGATTTTTTTCCATAATACTGTAATGATGAGACTAGAAGAGGATGACCTTCGCACACATTTCTCAGCTGGTACAGATCTTTGCAGCAGGTGTCTGAAGCATCGACCTCTCTGAGCCACTGTCTTTGAGTCTGTGTACTTTGGTTTACTTCTCTACAGGAGAGTGCAGGAGAGGACGTTCCCATCATGCTCTTGGCAAACAAAACAGACAAGGAGTCTAAGAGACAAGTTCAGGGGGGAGTGGGAGAGAAACTAGCCAAGGTGTGTTCTGACTTATCTTTTATTAAAGTTTCCAGTGGATGAGTCAGAGTCAGTCGTTTAGTCAGACCCCCTTTAAAAACATCTTCTGTTGTTTTGAGATGATTAGAGTTGATTTTTGGATGTTAGTCTGAGCAGAGTTACATGACAAAAGATTAACAGTCAGACTCGAAGAGTGTTTCCTTCCTGTACTAAAACTATTATTTTATCATCATCACCATCTCATTCTCAGGACTGCCAGATAAGCTTCTATGAGTGCAGTGCCTACTCTGGGCATAACGTGGTGGAGTCCATGGTTCATTTATGCAGGTGAGTAGCTTTCAAAGCAAAATCCTACAGCAGGGAAACCAAACCTCAATTCAGCTGATGAAGGAGAACAGCACTTATTCTGTTCGCAGTGTTTTCCTCTCACCCAACTAGTCCTCTAATTAGATGCGCTGTAACTTCTTTCTGCAGGTTGTTCCTGGCATCTTAACTATTTAGAGTCAGTTACTGATGTGAGGGAGGCAGCACAGTGGTGTAGTGGTTAGCACTGTTCCTTCACAGCAAGAAGGTCATGGGTTCGAATTCCAGTCAGTATGTTTCTGTGTAAAAACATGCAGAAGTGGTGTTATGGGGCGCTCACACCAAGCGCGAGTTAAATCATCTACTCACTTAATTTGCGCGAATCTAGACACGTGAATGAATTGTATTTACTCGCTTCATTCGCGCATCAACAGTAATTTCAACGGTAATCCCTGCCAATTCAACTGGCTGGATCAAGTGATAGACAAAGGTTTTTTACCTTCTTAATCACTTTTTGATTCTGGTTTCAGTGATTGAAAGAAAAAGTATCATATAATTCGGGGCACCCACACACCAACACAATCAGTTTGTCCTCCATTTTAGATACCAGTGAACAACCGTTCATTTTCATTTGTCACCTGGCAACCTTCGTGCTAATCAGTTATCGCGACCCAAATATCTGCTCAAGTTGAGACATATTCAGCTTCTGCCCAATTCGCATCATTCACACCACCAGAGTTGTAGGAGCATCTAATCGCGTCTTTACATTGACTTAACATGTAATTCATTCACGCGAATGATTTTGCTCGCGCTTGGTGTGTAGAGACAGTTGGGTAAATTGGTCACTTTCAAATTGCCCGTAGGTGTGAATGTGAGTGGGGTTGTTCATCTCTATACATCATCCCTGCAATGAACTGGCGACTTGTCCAGGGTGTCCCCTGCCTTCACCCTGAGATGCTGGGATAGGCTCAAGCCTGTTACCCCCAGCGAGATAAGCGGTAGAAAATGGATGGATGGATATTAATGTGAAGGGTTTTTTACTTATCAGAAACAAGCAAATTCATTTGTCAAATTCCAGCTGAAGGGTTTCAACAAACAGAGCCGAACTGCTGCATGAAGTTCCTGTTGTATGTTTTCAGAGGTAGAGGGAGTAAAAACAGAAGGGTTTACTCGTTTTTACTCTTTGGTTTGTCTCAGGATCCTGAAAGAGCAAGAGGACAGAGAGAAGGAGGAGACGGTGCAGCTGGTCAGCAGCTCGACAGAGAAGAAGAAATCCTGCTGCTAACACACACACACACACACACACACACTCACACACACACACTCTCACACAGAGTAGCACTACCCTTTACAGAAATACACACTGTGATAGTGTGAACACATGTGCCACTGTGGACACATTACTCTGACTCCTCCTCACACAGTCTTCCACCGTGTAGCACTGTGGGCAACCCCACACCAGGATCAATACTGTGTGTGTATGTTTTGTTTGTTGTGTGTCAGGGGTGTTTTTGCACTTTTGTAAAAATTTACTACCAAAATTATTTATCATCTCATAAAAAATGTAATTATCTGTGTATGAAACAAAATAATAATTGTATACTGTTGATCAAATTGGAGCCAAACTGAGTATCTCTGAGTCAAACTTCAACTCTTCATTTTTAAACGTCCTACTGAAGCTCTAAGATTTTTAACTAGCTTTCAAAAACCCTAACCAGTCCAATGAGGGATTTTTATTCTCCGTATTTATATCCTCATTCTGTGTTGCGTTTCTTTTTATTTATCTGTTTTCTTTGCTTTTTTTATCCAGTACATACAAACACTAAAACATGAACAATGAGTAGCAAACAGTCTTGTACTTATCACCTGTTAGCCAAGCTTTTGGTGTTTATTTTTGGTCAGAGAGGTAAAGGTTTAATTGTCAGGGCTGAGGTAAGTGGTGGTCTATTATTTGGATATTTATTTGGTGTGTTGCAGTGAAAACAAAGTGTTTTTTTTTTCTTTCTTGTATCTCGGTTTCTCCAACAAAAGATGTCAAGTGAAATCTTCATACACCCAAATCAAGAGCTTGAAATGTTGTTTCTCTAGCGCTGTACTATGAAAGTTTTTTTCTTTTTTTTTTTTGCTGGGGTTTGTACATTTTGTTGCCTGTACACCTTTATTTATCTGTGTCAAATTTAACTATAAGAAAAAAAAAATCAGATCTTTATTTTACCTGTATAGACTAAAATAAATTTACTGCAAGAATGCTAATTTCATATTTCCACAAACTTGGTGCCAAGTGTTTGATATTTTTTTTTATTTTTTTTTTTTTATACCACATGATTTCACTTTATTCTGTTAGGAGAGTTATGTCATTTGTAAGCACAAGGAGGTGAAACTTTCCTGGTCCGTGGAGTAAAGGGAAAGGAAATTTAAGCTACAACTAACCGACCGCTATGAAGAGGAGAAAACACTCAGAAAACAGAAGGCCTGAGATTTCTTTCATTTGTTGTATCCAAGGGATAAAGCAGCAAACTCCCCCCCAGCCAGGGCTTTAAGCTCAACATTTCTTCATTTTCTTAACAAAAGACAAAATGTGACAAATCTTTCCCGCTGGTATTGGTCACAAGAAATGGGTAATAACTGGTGTTTTCGAAAGAGTCATGTGCCCTTGTGAAAAGTTCATATTTTACAGTTTGATAAGGTGTTTTTGCCTCTAATATTGTTTCACTACTACCACTGTCTTTCACACCAATATGTAAATAAACATGTTAATATAATGAACACTCATTTGCGTGATATCTTCAATGACCATGAGTGTCATTTTTTTCCCTGGCACACTTAAATTCAAAGAAATAATTTACAAAACCGCCGGATGAGTTTGGACATAGCTGTTTATTCAGTTTTGAAGTTGACATGACAATATGTGAAACTTTTTCGATACACTTTTTTAAGAATACATGAGGAACTAACATGCCAATTAATCAAGTTTTAAGATTTACAAACTATATGAAAAATTTGGCTTATGTTGAACAGAGCAGCCACAATTTCATCAGAGCCATGTTCCTTTAAGCTGCAATATTGACCGTATTTCTTTATCAAGAATTATAAGAAAACTATTGATCTTATTAGATAATCAGGCTTATTGTGTAGAACTGATTTGAAGTATTATTGATCTCTAACACTATATTGCTTGTTCGTACCTGCAGTTGTAGAGAAAAATCCACAGGATCAGAGCATCTGTGAGCTCTCCGATAAACGTTTGGTTGATTGTTACGAGCTTTAGCTGCATGCTTTATAAATGATCTGGTTTCCCAAGTGTTTGTGCTGTACATGTCAGTCACAGCCTAGAAAATATCTATTACAGCCTCTGCACAACATAAATGGTTTTATCAGACTGGATCTTGGCTATTTGGCCAGTGCATAAGAGAAAGTTATTATAGCCTATGATTAAGAGGACTGGGGAAAAACCTTGTTTCCAAATAGTCGGGACAGGGGACGCTGAAACACAGTGAGAGTTGTGTGGAGAAACATCTCAAGACAAAATTAGTTACTTTTCAAGAGGTTAGTAACAGGACCGGATATTCAGAGAGGCTGAGTCTGTCAGGAGAAGAGATAGGAAGGAGTTCACCACTCTGTGAGAGACTGTGTGAGCTAATAGTTCAACAGTTTTAAAACTATGTGTGTTTGGTGTCAAACTGCAAAGAATTGGTGGATCTCATCATCTACAGTAAGATCACACAGTTCAGGGGATCTGGAGGAAATGTACAAAAAGGTCAAGGCTGAAAGGAAACACTGGATGGCCCTGATCTGTGGGCCTAAATCGAAATTTGACATCCCTTTTGGAAATCACGGACACCACATCCTCTGTTCGAAAGAGGAAAGGGGTTGCAATGCTTGATCTCAGCTTCCAGTTCAAATCCAGCATCCCTTATGGTGTGGGGATTATCAGAGTCCATGTCATGGGTATCTCCCACATCTGTGAAGGCTCCATTAATGCTGAACAATATCTACAGTTTTAGGAGAAACATCTGACATCGAGACAAAGACTTTTTCAAAGAAGACCTTCATATTTCTGCAAGACAATGACAAACCAAATTCTGACAACAGGGATTACAACAGCATGGCTCTGTAGTAGAAGAGTCCTGCTAAGAAACTGGTCTGACTCAAGTCCTGACTTGCCCCTTATTGAAAACATTTGGAGCATCAAAAAATCAAAAATAGGACATAAGAGACCCTGAACTGTTGAGCAGATGAAAACCTCTTTTGGCAAGAATGGGACAACTTTTCATTTTTCCCCAGAAACTAGTCTGCTGTTTACAGATTTGTTCAATGAAGACATTATTAAATATAAAGGTAAACATGCCCCTGTCCCAGCTTCTTTGAAACTTGTTACTGGCATCAAATTTAAAACAATAAAATTATCCAAGTTTAACATCTGATTTGTTGTCTTGTCTGATTGAACTGAAATAAAAGCTTTGAATAATTTACCAACTCATCAAATGCTGTTTTGCTCCACATTTTACAGTTTTTTTTCATAGTATATGTAAGATAACTTTTGCCAGATTTCACCTCCTGAAGAAAACTCTTCTCTGTGTTCCTTGGCAATGACCTCAGTAAGAGCACAGGTGAAGTATAGAGATGACAGTTTTAATACACTCTGTGATTCCTGCTGCCACTAAAAAAACCTTTCCCTTTTTCTATGTGACAGTGTATACAGCTGCAGAAAGCGATAAAGACATGTGCAACTGGAACTGCTTCACCTGAAGTGTCTGGATCTAGACTCAAAATAATGGACTCGAGCCTCCTTTAAGTGACTCTAAGTGTGTTTGTGTATATGTGGAACAATTGAAAAAAGCTAAATGCAGCAATGAAGAAAAGCAGTAGGTACACTTCGGCACTTGGTCAAGGCATTGGGAACGAGGAGAGGGAACCGGGACGGGGACGGGATGTCATTGGCATGTCAACATCACAGGGCACATGTGGAGTCCAAGCTGTGCAACGGTGTGAGCTTTGACACCATAACTACACACTCACAGGAAGTTACGATACACTGACAACGCAAACACGTCACCTTTCACGTCACGCACAGACACGTACCGACACAGGTTTGTCCTTGGCTGTTAGTTTTCCACCGTTACTCAATTTAAACAACTAGAAATGAAAATGTTCTCTGTTACTCATTCCCTACAATACATAATAAAACATAAAAATTACAGCTCTTAAGTTTTGTCCACTTTTAGCAGAATAAAGACAACACAGTATGAACTAAGGGAGCCTCACCGTTCTTTGAAACTTTCCTTCCACAAGGTCCGAGTTATTGCAGAAAACAAATACTGAACTAAACACACAGGTACATCACTCCATCTCACATTAACACACATCAATAATCAATAACATTCATCAAGATCAAAAATACTCCCCGTCTTTTTTTTTTTTTTTATGTCAGTGTTACATTCAGAATCGTTTTAACAGTCAGTTTTCAGTAACTTCCTGCCTTCGTCATGCACTGAGGCGACTGTAGTGATGCTGTCAGCGGACCTCCTCCGCTTCACTTCTGGCCCTCTCATCTTCATCACCCAGAGTGTCTTTCTGCAGTCATGGGAGCATCTCCCTCTGGTGCTCAGCAGCTCACACTCTGCAGGTCGTCGAGGTCCCTCTGTCGCACTTAACGCATCTTGTAGTCATGTGATATGGCCGCTTCACACAGCTGGCCTTTGAAATCCAGCTCGAAAGTGAAGTCCAAGTCTCGCTGCAGGTAAAGAGAGGGATAAAACAAAGATGGTGTTGAGGGGGAAGTTTGTTTTTTAAAGTGGAGTTGTTTGACAAAAGGGGATGCTGCAGAAACTTCACTCCCTGATTCATTTCATATAAACCTGAATACCAATGTCTGTCCTTGGTTGAGCTACATTTAGAGATTTTTCAGAGTTTGCTTTGCAGCTAGAAAACCATTTGGCTGTAACAATGTTTGGACGCGGTACACACATATTTTTTTTAGCCTGCAGCACACTGATCATCTGTTGGGTCTGATGGCTTCAAAAGAGACAGAAATACAACCAAAGTGAAAAATGGGTGATTCATGCTGTTCACTGTGGACACAAGAGGACATCGTTATGATGTGGACTTTACAGAGAAGGACTCGGGGGACCAGAGGAGGGAGGGAAGAACTTCAGTGCTAACTGGAGTTAGCCCCCCTCTCCTCTACTGGGAGTAGACTGTGTCATCCTGACTGTGGACTAAAAATGAGCGATTCTGCAGCACCATGGCCCCCTAAAGAAAGTAAAACTATGGTTTCAAAACAGAAGAGAAAGGACGTGGAAAAAAGAGGCAGTGGGACATCAGCTCTTAGCTAGTGTTCTTTCTTTCTTTCTTTCTTTTTTTTTAAGAAAGATGAGCACATAAATGATTAGGCTAACACATGCAAATGAGACTGAAGGCAGTCAGATAGGTCTAGCTTTGATCATATTTATATGGCATCCATACATTTATCAGGGGCAGCACAGTGGTGTAGTGGTTCGCACTGTCGCGTGCTCTCTGTGTGGGTTTACTCCGGGGTACTCCAGTTTCCTCCCACATCCTAAAAACATGCTTAAGTGGGGTTAGGTTAATTGGCCACTTCCAAATTGCCCATAGGTGTGACTGTGAGCGTGAATGGTTTTTGTCTCTATATGTCAGCCCTGCCATGAACTGGCGACTTGTCCAGGGTGTCCCCTGCCTTCGCCCGAAGATGCTGGGATAGGCTCCTAGAGTGGCTTTTTGGTTGAGCACATGGCTCTCTGTATTGCTATCTGCGGTCGTTACTAAAGTTGGTGTAACTGGAGAAGCAAGCAGTCGGGAACTTTAATCTCTCGATGGGATGTCTAACTCTGTGTTACGGTGTGTTTGACCCAAAATTAATTTTACGCCGGAATATCCCTTTAAATACACAATAACAGATGACCTAAAATGTATTATCTCAGTAAAAGGAGAGCCACTTTTGTGAAGATATAAAGTGCTTTTGCTAAACTGAGTCATAACAATCTCCAAACTGAGATTCATGTGTTTGTGTCTGCTGTTAAACTGAGCCTAACAACAGCTGAAAAATCCAATCTCATTTCATTGGAAATGAGATCATTCACCCTTATTTTTGGAGTGTTAAAGGTAGTGAGGCGTGTAAAGACGTGAGGAAAACGAGTTTTAAGGCCATAGCTGCAAGTTTTGCTAAATCCGGCTGAAAGGGAACTCTGTAGTTTCTGTGTTTTTTCTCACTTTGTGAGATTGAATGAGCACCTTTGCTGTCATTCAATCATCTGCTGTGTAAATAAATGTGCAGATGTATCTGTATCCAGACTGTTGTGAAGAAGAGACGTTGTGAAGATAGTCTGTTGCTTTCAAGAGGTAATTTGCGTATTGGAGGTGTTGTTTGAACGAATCTGCATGATTGCTTTGGGATGTGGTGATCTGCCCAGGATTAAACATAATTCAAAACATCTCCAAAATCATTGATGACATAGGTAAATTATATAAATATATTACATTATATATTATTTTATGTTATATATGATGGTTTTGAGTGTGATAAATCATAAAGGAATATGTGGTGAAAAACGTACAAAATTGTCTATTTGTAAGAAATCTTGCCAAACGTGTCTATATCCCATTTAATGAGAAAAAAAAGCATACGTTTTACCTCTAACTATAAAAAGATAACAAACTGTACATAAGTTTAAATGTTACACTCATATCTTCCCTTTTCTAGTTTATAGAAATTAAATATGATTGTTAAAGTTTAGGTAATTGACCTGTAAGTATATGTTATGTCAAAAGTGTGGCTAAATGAGCTAAAGGTTATTTGTGCCTTCTGGAGGATGAAATTTCAGACAAAAGGGGACTTTGGGATCTTTCATTTGGACCTGACAGTGTTGAATAACCACAGATTGTTTGTGTGAGACAACAGGAGGAAGTGGGTCTCGCCTCTCGGGCTCAGAGGGGGAGGAGAGGATGCTCACAAGGTCAACAATAGAATCTGTTGTTGTTTGTCTGCAGTGCGGCTGCATGTTTGACCGTCATCCAACACCGAGGAGAAAACAATCTGCTGCATGCTGCCAGAGCCAGAAATGACTCATTTTACGGCTCAGATATATACAATATCTGGATCCAAACACACTCTGACATGTTTTTATATAGAGTAGGTATACAGATACTGCATAACAACAGTGTATTTTCAATAAACTAGACTTTCTTTACAAGACTGTACCCATGCACAGTGCTCCACATCACTCACAGTGTTTTTCTCATTGGGCTTCATGGCGATGCTGCCTGTAATTTCCTCTCCTCTCCGCACCGTCAAATAGTCCTCCAGATAAAACACTGTCTGCTTCCAGTGGGTGTACGGAGCATCTGGTGCTAAAACACACAAAGACACACAAAAACACAAGCTGAAAATCAACCCTTATAGACTTTTAACAAAGCAGTACAACTGAAAATCAATGCAGATTTCAGTGAACTTTTACAACTTGTACAAAGACTTTTATTATTACTAAATCAGTGGCTGGTTGCAGAGTGGTGAGGTTCGGTATGCTGCCAACTCCGCCCATCTTTCTGTTCACCTAAGGGAGCACTGAATGCCAAGCTCCATTCCCACAACAACAGAAGAGCCAGCAGCCCCCAAAAAAGTTTCAGGCATTGCCAGCCTACATTGGATATGTGACTATAATAACCCCTCTTTACATTGATATACATGGAAATAAAAAGCTTTGTTTTGCAATCCAGAGTTCAAATGAAGCTAATCGCTACAACAAACAGCACCTTACTGTGTGACACATGTACAGAACTGAATATTAAAGGGATATTCCGGCGTTTATGATTTATGAACATTTATGAACATTTATGATCATTACTTTCCTTGAAGTAATCATCATCATATTAATCATTTTGCACTGCAGACGCGGTAGTTCTTCTGCCTTAGCGTCTGTCTGATTGCATCTCCATGAGGAAATGATCATAAATGTTCTTCCTTGAGCTGTGTCACCCCGCTGCAGTCGCAATCGGTGAGTGACTCGTCTAAGGTCTCCCTACAAACAAGTGGCTGCTGGAGGAGAGTGGGTGAGTTGTGTTAAGTATCTTTGCTAAAGAAATTAGGCAAAGTTAAAAGGATGTTTGGTGGCTAGTGCTATGGCTGAGACCCAATATGTACTGTTGATGAAGTTAGGTGCTGTTCTGAGCATTATTTGTGGCTATAGAGAGGCGTTTTGGTTGAGCGCGTGGCTCTCTGTATTGCTATCTGCGGTCATTACTGCGGTCATAACTAGAGAAGCAAGCAGTCGGCAACATTCACCTCTCATCGGGGTGTCTAACTCGGCGTTACAGTGTGTTTGACCCTAACTTAATTCTACGCCAGAATATCCCTTTAAAATCAAGATTGCAGCGCTGATAACGGATAACACTGATAACAAAAAGACGTTTAACAAAAGCCATTTTCGACCAACACCACAGGAAGATGTGTCACAGGGGGAAACAGTAGATATGTCTTCTCCCTGTCAGTGATACAGCCATCATTTTTCTACCCAGTTAACCTTCTTCAGTAACATTGAACTTCTCTTGTTTGCAAACAGCGTGCAGAATGCATAGAGACACACAGGCTCAAGTGCCAGTCCTTTATAGGGCTAACGGAGATAAATGGCCTTCTGTGCGCTCCTGATGTGGATGAAAATAAACGCAAACTGCTCAGAGACAGAGCAGTGATGGAGAGCTGATGGTGCAAGAAGAGCAGGTCGCTCCACTTGAGCTCAGGATAAAAACTGCTCAATAAAAAGACAGGAAATGAACAGCTTCACTCTTGACCTCTCCTGCTGCTCTTTCATCACCATCATGCCTTGTATCTTTAGAGCAAACCTTGGTGCACCCATGTGTGCGTGCATGTCTGTGCTCTCGTGTGTGCAGATGGAAACGGCAAAGGCCCAAAACAAATGTGAGCACCCACTGCCTTGAAAACTGCAGATTGCTTGGCCTGACATTCAAAAGGCCTGCAGGGCTTAAGTGAGTTTCTGCCAGCTGTCCTGGAGCAGCTCTGCCCCCACATACCAGCCCTTTGTAAGTCCATTCATAAAAGTGGCTGCTGCTTCAGAGGCCTGGCTCTCTATTTTGGGTGCAGTTGAATTCAGAGGCGCTATAGCTGTGTTTCTCATGCTAATACGGTTGATGGCATTTTGTGCATGGAGCATGAATTGTAATTGTATTAATCTTGACTTTTGTTGATTTGGCTGTAGGTTTTTTTGTCAAGAGATCTGTTTCTTCAAGGTTATGCAGACCATGAGTCTCTGTATCACAAACGCAAAGAATTGGACCGGAGAGTAAAAGGATATGGTACAAGTTCAAGCTACTGCAGATACAATAATAAATATTAATTAAGACTGCATGGATTAAATGTAATTATGAGTTCCACAGGGCCAACAGACCCTTTCTCCACACCAACCCTCAACCATAAAAATTGCTTCCTTGTTGGTTAAACTCGCAATACTTGTCACAACCACCAGAGGTCAATCACATACTACTTTTGACCAGCTACCAGCGCAACCCTCTTTTTCTCAACTCCCCCTCACTGATGCTCCTGACATTTAAAATCATTTAAAGCATTCAGATGTTTTATTTAGTCTTAATTTAAATGGAAAAATTCCACTTCATTGTTGTGAATAATGAAGTATTTGTTTGTTACATGCTTTAAAATGATCAACTTTCCAAGTGGATTTCAGACTAATTACATTTGTGATATCATAGCCAACCCAGAGGCATGTTTAAAAGGGAGGTCAAGGGTACAATGGCCCTCTTAAAGTCCACCAGGAGCCACCTCAGAATATTGAGGAGCTATTTTCCTTGTTGGAGGCAGGACACATGTTCAAAATCAAATCAAAGGTCTGTGTTAAAAGAGAAGGCCAGTCAACGGCTGATGCATAATACCAACATCACAATGTTGTTTTTGCATTCCATCAAACACCACATCCAAGATTTTTAAAAAAGGATTTTAAAGTTTATTTTTAAAGTCACTTTTTGAGTAATTTATGGCAGATAGAGGAACTGAAACTGCTTTAATTATGTGTATTACAACATGATTTAAATCAAACACCTGTCATTCACTGTTTTAGATTTAAAATTAAGTCATAAAAGATGATTAAAAAAGGTTTTCATGAATAATAGATGTCAACCTGGCAAAGCAAGTTTTTTCAAGATCTCAAAAACTGGCCTGATAGTTTTGATCAACGAATCAATTGGTCCATCTCTGATCAAAATAAGAACAGGGTCTCTGCAGGTTTTACCAAGTCAAATGAAGACTTTTTAAAGACTGTAACGAACACAATTTAAGACCCATTTTACATCCATAATGGCAAAAGAGTACAAAGACATGAAAGGATGTCAGAATATTTTACTTCACTACAAATCAATCTTTATTTTTATGGCAGGTTATTTTTTTGTAAGTAAAGTCATTTTTATGAGATTCTAAGAAAAAGATATTTTAAGGCCTTAAATTCAATGAATTAATTAAATTTTACCCCCACCCCCCACCTCCCTTTCAAAACTAAGTCAATCCTAAACATATATGTGAGTGTGCGCTCCTCTTTGGTTAATTTCACCATCTAAACCAGTGGTTCTCAAGTCCAGTCCTCGAGGCCCACTGTCCTGCATGTTTTGGATGTTTCCCTGCTCCAACACACCTGTTTCAAATGATTAGCTCGTTATCAAGCCATTACAGAGCTTGATAACGAGCTAATCATTTGAGTCAGGTGTGTTGGAGCAGGGAAACATCCAAAACATGCAAGACAGGGGGGGCTCGAGGACTGGACTTGAGAACCACTGATCTAAACTGAGGTCCATTGAGATCCAGAGCAGAGAAGAGAGGTACCCAATCTGACCCCTAGGGGGTGCTGTTTAACTTCTACATTTCATACAAAGCATGAAGGAAGACCAAATTATATCAGATGATCATGACCATCACTACAGTGTGACACACCTCCTGCAGCTCTTATGCTTTGAAGCACAAACAAGCTCACACTGTTGCTCTGTATGTAAGATGAAGAAAAGAGTGAGACGCATCTTACCGGTGGAGAAACCGGTCTTCTTGTGACACTTGGTAAACTCTATGTGGAAGTATGTGACCAGCGCATGGATGTAGTCGTTTCTCTGGATCTGCAGGCAAAACGCTGAGGTAAAAGTGAGGTCCTCCACCTTCACTGTGTAGATATCCACCTCCTGTGGAAGAGACAAAAATAACAAACCTCTGTCATAACAAGTCACAGGTCAAATAAATCAATCCTTATTATCCATACAGGAATTAATAAGGCACAGGTCTTATAAAATCGGTATTTATGGGAATACACTCAAGGCCAGGAGCTCTGGACCATGACTGAACAGAGTAAGATTGACTAAAACTGAACTGAAAATAAGAATTATGTTGGATTAAAAGGATTTAAAGACTTAAATCAACATGTTGTGGATTAAATAAATTAGATGAGGCTGTAACATGTTAATGAGCTTGTCTGGGAGCTCTATTTAGCTGCTTAGAAGAACCAAGTGAGCAGTTTCTGCCTGTTTCCAATTATTGCACTAAACTGAGTGTATTTGCCTCTGAAATATCAGACATGAGAGTGTTTTCAATGAATTCAGTGCAAACTAAAAGACTTTGGTTATCTCAAAAGTCAGCCTTTTCCAGCTAACTTTCTTGTTATGTTTCATATCTGTTGCTAAATTTTCTGTTGTCTGTCTTTCTTTAAATCTAAGAACCTAAAGTGTTTTGGATGGTGGAGATTTGTGTCAGTTTTGTCCCCTGATTTAGTGTCTATGTAAAAATTCAACATATCATATTACACAATAAAAACGATGAAGGGTGAAACTTCTTTCAGAAAAAAAAGGGGTCAAGAGTCCGGGTTTGGCAGCACCGGGGCCATGCCAAACTCCTGATAACCACTGAGACAGAGGCCACAGCCTTTGTGTAAGTAGGACAGGGAGATGGGGCCAAGAGTCATCTGGGAGCTCTGAGCGCTGTCAGGCTCCAGGTGTTGTTCACGCTCCGTGCAAGCAAACCCAAATCTGTAAACGTCCCCTGGATCCAGTCAGTTTAAAGGGTATCTGATACCACTTTGTCCCACAAGACCGTGTTCAGAGCAGAACACGTTGTTCCACATCCTAGTTTACTGCGGTGTGAACGGCACAAGGCCAAGATCTTGTGTCAGCTGTGATAACTGAGGAGCAGAGGGAGGTGCAGCTCACCTGAAAGTACACCGCAGGGTAAACACAGAGGCTGAGGCGTGATCATCTTGTTTCATGACCCTTTGGCGATGATAAATATTCACTGTTGGCTTGCTGGCTTTGGCGCCAGATGCCACATTTGCAGTGCAGTAATAAGCCGTATGTTCGCTGGCAATAAAAACAATCCGATATCAACGTCAGATTCCCCTGCTGTTAAGAAAACAATCCCTCCCATAAACACTTGATACTTCCTCTGGTCTCAAAGTCACATTTGAAAGTTTCAGACAGTAGTATAACTCTGTGTAATGTCTATACATCCTCTAAATGCTAAAGGAGAATTTTAAAGACAGAATTATATAAGTTTTTAATGTTGAACTGATTATTTACTTCAGGATTTAAGCGGTTAATGATCATAGTTGATTATCGCAAGTAGCAGTTTAATAACATGGGGTCCCGTGTGTGCCACTCCACGGCAATTTGACTCTAATGAGGTCATCCTGTGATATATTTAAAGTCAATAAAACTCATCAGTGGGGTATCATTGTTGCTCCTTTTTCATTTCACGAGATCCAGCTTCCCCGTCACTTTCCTGCAGATTTCCTTTTATTAGTCTCTCGTGACTGATTTCTCTGTTTGTTTCATGTCTCAGTGCTTTCAAAATGAAAGTCTGCAATGCAAGGAGGGAGACAAAAGAGAAGTGGGTGTGGAACAATCAGCAACGTGAAGTGAAGGTCCGATCGGAAGGTAATTTTGCTTCAGGATAGAGGTGAGACAGAGTGGAGTAGTCTAATCAATGGCGGCCGTAAGGTCAGGATGACAAGGAGCTCAATCAGGAGGACCAGACAGGCTGCTATTGACATGCATGGCACAACTGGTCTCATCCTCACACAGACAGACACACTTCAAGGTCATACTTGGCCTAGCTATAGCATGTTATACAATATGTTCACAAATTAAGGTCAGTGAGTGTTCATAACGAATGCATGTGCGATAATTACCTCCGTATCTTCATTACAGTTTTTAATAGTCACCCCATTGTGCATGTTGTTCAGGAGGTAAGTGCTAATGAGTTGACTCTGTGTTGTGTAATTACTCTACATTATTGCACAATGAATGACAAGCTTGTTTTCCTTTTCAAGTTCTATTAGCTGCATCAGAAAACTGTAATGATCAATAAAATATCACCAAAAGGAAGCCAGTTTTTTTTTCTTCTTCTTTAATCAAAAATTGATCGTAAAATACTATTTTTTAAAAATGCTTGATATTTTTGGCATGGTGTCGGTATAAGCCCATATAAATTTCACCGTATCGGATATCTGCAAAAATCCAATATTGTGTATCTCTTATGTATTTTACTTTTATTTTGATAAGATCTTATTTTTTAACGCACCTTAACAATTAGTTAAGTGGGATACATCACTACTGTTTGTTGTTATGATTGATTTTTTTTCCCATCAAAGATGCTGTCCTCTTTTTACAGAGGGCATGATTTGGTGCACTGGTGTTTGCATGCTTAATATGCTTATTGTATCCTAGGTGGCAAGACATCAACATAACCTCACCTGGAGCATATCCACTGTAACGTGATCCGGCAGGTTGTAGATTTAGATCTAACGCTGTGCAGCAAAAGGAATGAAAAGACTGATACATAATGCAATAACGCCCCAAAGGTTCCAGGTGAGTTGGACTAACTTGGTGGATTTTTTTTTGCCGCAGAAATGGTCCATTTCTTGCTCACTGAAGTAAAGCCTAGGGTAAAGAAAACCGTGCCAACAGTTTACAAATCTGTTCACAGTTTATGAAACTGTGAACACAAAGTGTAAATCAGCACGTGCAGAGTTTAAACTGTGCGCACAGATTTATAATCTGAAGGTGATTCATACATTCTTCTTTTTTATTCTCAGCTGACACTCTGAGTTCAGTAAAAATTCATTACTAACTTAGAAATACAATGGGAGATATGAGCATCTGTAAAAGGCTGCTCACTGAACCGTTTCTCTGCGCTGCTACAGTTCAATCAAAACTCTAACTCTCAATTCCCACTTTAGGTGAAAATCTAATCAAATCATTGAGATCCAGAAAGACCAGAAACACCCTGATGAGTCTGAAGTTATAAAAGGAGCTTCTGAACTTTGTCTAACATGACTGACGGTCTGATCAACTTTTAGCAGTTAGTAACAATCACAGGCCAGGACATAGACGTACACATTGATCTCATCTAGACTGTGCCCAGAATACACTTGATTTTCTATCAGTCAAACCCAATCACAGAACCCATCAGCTTTTGTCTCATGTCACATGTGCATTTTAGAGTATGTCTGCATTAAAATCGCTGTGAATCTCTGGCAGACTCAAATGGCAGGTTCAGAAACACTGAGATTCCCTGCGTCACAGCTGCAAGCCCCGCCCCCCAAGCCCCGCTATGCAGGCCAGAGTCAGAGAAGTAGAGAGGATGATTGCGGAACAAGTGTGTGCATTCACGGATTGCAATGCTCTTAAGAAAGTTAACTATTATATTAACTTCCATCATGTCCCTAAAGACATCAGTGTTTAAGAGCTGTGTAGCTCCTATGTTACCTGCTACTTTTGCTGCACCGGCAGTGTCAGGCTACAAGCTAGCGTAAAGAGGAGGGTGCAGAGCAACACTGTCTCCGCCCATGACCCAGAAGCGAACTGCTAAAGAGCTACTGGAGCTCTGCAGAAGAAAAGCCCTTGAAGATGACACAGGTAATGCTTTTTTGACTGAAAACTTCATAATCACAATTTAAAGGCCACTGAATACACTTGAAATAGTAAAAAAAAAAAGATTGGAGTGGGAGTTTAAAGCATGATAAATATAGACTCTTTTCAAAATATCAGCATCATACACGGTTCATCTGTTCTGTTTCTTATTCCCTTACCTTGATGAGGCAGGAGTTGGTCACCACCTGTTTGGGGTCCACGACGTCCACCAGTGGTTCCTTCATGGCCACATTTCGAATGCAGGTCATGTCAAAGCCGTAGACATTCTCCCACCCTTGTTAAAACAGTAACATTTTGTAACACTGACATCATGTTCTGCACTCTTTTTAAAATATTTTTCAAGGAATAGCCTGGTGTGCTAACTCAGAGTCTGACCTCGTGTCATTCTGCAACAATTTCCATCATGACAAATGAAAAAGACTTGTGTGATTTTGGATGATTGGTGAACACAGTCGTCCATGAACACAGCCTCCTCTCTTGTTCGGATACGCTCTCTGCTTTAGCTGAATCCTTCCATACATAATTCATTGGGCTCTTTAAATAAGTGTGTGAGCAAACATCTCTATCATGACCTGAAAGAAGAGAGAACTACTCGAGTGAGTCTGAGAGTGAGTGAGTGATAATGAGCAGGTCACACACCCCCGGGACTGTGTAATGCGCTGTATTTGCATTTCTTGCTGCCCACTTAACAAAGGCAGCTTGCAGCCCAGAGAAGCACTAATGACCACAATATGCTCAGAAACACTGGAGGGCTACAGGAGGCTGCCTCTAACTAAGGCTTTAGGTCATCTCAGGCCATCTGCTGGGACGGGAACATGTTTGTGGTCAATGTGGCCCACTACAGACTAATGGGAGATTACATTTACCATCCCAGTATTACTGCAGTGTTTTGATGCAGTGAGCCCTGTAACTCCAGTGCAGTTTGGTTGGATAATTTCCCAGATGTATGGAGGAGTGTGGGTAGGAGGCTTGTTAGCTATTGTTGTGTTTGCCTGCCTTTTTGCCATCAGGGTTATGCACTGGCCTAACTCTGACTCTGGTGCTGTGCATCCAGCATCCAAACGTCCCCCACAGCCCTCCTGGCAGGTTTCAGAGTGGGATGAAACAGAGATGGAGATGGAGAGATGAGGCCTGTTGACTCATAATATCAATTATCGCCTCCGGTATTGTGCCCGTGGAGAAGCTCAAGATCATTTGGAGAACTGGAAAGGTTGGGTTTGAGTGCACCCACACTAGTGTGAGCAGAATGAAGAGGAGTGGACAGAGCTCTACATGCAAGGTTCATTCTCAATGTAAAGACATACAGTATTTCTGCGCATCATCTGTCTTGGTCTATGCAAAGTACACAAGACACAGAACATCCAGAGTCACACACAGCCTCTCACAGTGAACTTACAGTGTATTTTAAAGTCCTTGTACTGCCTGTCCTCTATGGCCACCACATACAGAGAGGCTCGGTCAGGAAACATTAATCCTCCAGGTTTCTGTTTGACAAACAAGGCAGGGAAATAATTCAGAGTTTAATCCTGGACACATTATTAAAGATCCACATTACAGCGCCACTGACATTTCATCCCTCAGCTGGGAACAGGTCTGATAATAGAGGTCTAAGTATTGGCTCTGTGAATAGACTGGAACAGGAGAGCTTTACATGAGGTTACTATAAAACCTTGACTTTTATTTTTCCATTACAATAGGACAAAAAATAAGGGACAGATATTAATAGAGGTACGTCCAAATTCTGTTTTCCAGCATGTTTGCCAAGGAAAGATTTTCTTCACAGAGTCTCTTAAAAGCTGTGACACAAAAACAGAGAAAAAAATGCCCTCTCATTGATACTGGCCAGAGAGGAACAAAGAAATCAAAAGCCTGATCATATAATTTGTTCAAATATTGTTTTTCTGATGTTCTAATACAATCATTATTTCTGTTTTCCAAACCATACTTTCAGCTTTTCTGCAACCCTGTACTTCACTGAAGTCTACACAAGAGACAAAAGCCTCAGTCTTCTGTCTCTTTAAATGTATTGACTGCTATGAGATGTCTCATGGTAATTATGAGCCTTTAATGCCGTGACTTTGATGATTTTATGCATCTTGTTGTTCTCTCTGTGCTCTCGTAGTTTTGTTAAATCATTAATTGCAGACTCCCAACATGAGGCCAACTTCATCTTTTGTTTTGTGTGAGTTTTTCAATAATTTAACGTGAAATCAGTCTCAGAACGGCCCTTTTCTTATGTCCTTATTTTTGTTGATTAAGGCTTTTTAAGGCTTCCTTCTGCTGAGCAAAGTTACAGGAAGACTTGTTATTGAGATACACAGAGAGGTATTTAGAAGTATGGAAAACAAAGAAGACAATCTAAATTATATGCATCTTTTAACAAGGACACAAGGATGTTTCAAGCTGATGCCTTTCTTCTGCAAGTATTAGCTGATATGATCGTAGTCCTGCACAGGTTGGACTAATTATACTTATATATATATTTATATAGAAAACCAGATAGACTAGTGCACTGTAGCAGCCCACTAAGCGATGTGCCTAAGTGGCAGCCATATTGGCAGGGGCAATGTTCCCATTAAAGGCATTAGTTGCACATGAAAAATAAATCATATGTTGCTCATTTCTGATTTTCATGTGGTTTACTTTATTTTCAATGTGAAAACATGGGCTATAAATACAGATGATTTGTTTCACAACTTGCGCCCGCTGCCCGTATGTGTTTCGTGAGCCTCTTTTCTCATCTCAAGCCACTTGCTTCACAAGGATGAGATGAAACAACAGATTGTTGTCTGATTTTGCTACAAGGGGGTTATAGCATGACTAAAATGCTGTGATTGAATATTTCATGGCCGTATTTTAATCATTTTAAGACCAGAAACACTTTGTGCACATTGTACACACGTGCAGGCATGAGCGACTTGGGCAGAAAAGAGGGAGCTGAAGAAGGCGTCACACAACTCCACCCATTTCAGGACATCCTCATCTTTCAAACAAGACCAGTCTTACCTCACTACGATGTGTACCCCTCCAGCTACGGAAAGGTAAGCAGGTAACATTTTCACAGGAAAAGAAGAAAAAAAGTAATCCATGCTCTGTAATGATAGCGCATGTTTTAGCATTGATAATAAAGTAAAGCGCATGAAAATTAAGAATTGAGCAAGTTGTGATTTATTTTCATTGTACATGAATTGCCTTTAATGGGAACGATGCCCCCACCAAGATGGCTGCCATGTAAATATGCAGCTCAAAGGGGCATGTTGTATCTACTATTCCTATCTATGACTATACATGCTCATCACAGATAACCAGTGTCACCAGGGGGAGTCTCCACCTCCTAATTTTCCAGTCTCATTATTAATGAACCAGTGACACATGTGAATTCTATACAGTGAGAAAATCGCCAAATTGAAGTGATAATCCAGCCCAGTCTTTGAATACTAAATACAGAAATTATTATTTTCTCCTCCTGGATATTTTTGTGACTGATTTGCTTTATACACACTTTCCACATATATCCATACCAGCCACTTGTCCCTGGCGAAGATGACAGTGTTGAGCATTGACTCGTAGAAGAGACAGTAGCCCATCCATTCAGAAATAATGATATCAACCTTCTCCACAGGAAGCTCCACCTCCTCCACCTTCCCTTTAAAGATGGTGATCACTGCAACACAAAGCAAGCATTCAAAAGTCAAATTTAGTCAGGGACTCACATGCAGAAAGAGTTTCTTATCAGAGAGTGATGGATGTCAGTAAACAGGGGCGATAATGTCTCAAATCTGAGTGACCAACAAGACGAGATGTCGCCACTGTAAGACAATTACTACGAATAAATGTTTGTTTTCCTGAAAAAGAGAGAAAGAAGCATTGGAGTGTTACTAAATGGAACTAGAGGAAAAGAAGACAGAAAGAAAATGGGAAGGAAGAATATCGTGAGGAAATAGTGAGAGAGGGAGACAAGAATTTGAAATGACAAAAAAAATACAGAAAATGAAACAGGGACAGAGAAAAGTACAGGGACAGAAAAGAAAATGAAAGAATAATGTGACAACGAAATAAATGAAAGTTTGAAATAACGAAAAAGAGAAGAAAAATGCTAGAAAGAAAAAGAAAAACAGAGCAAGAGTTAAAATATTTGGAAAAGGAAAAAAGTCAAAAAAAGAGGTGTATACATATATATATATATATATATATATATATATATATATATATATATATATATATATATAATGAAATATTGAAATAATGAGAAATACAAATTTAAAAAAAAAACAAAAAGAAAGAAAGAAAGAAAGAAAAAGAAAAGTCAGTCTGATGATAGTGGATGTTCTTGCTCAGCCGCCGTTTCATTCTTGTGGACAGACTTTAATCCTGGCAGGATTTACAGGTTTGACCTTTGACCTGCCTGAGATGAGCTGACCTCGGCTCTGTTGTTCTGAATTGTCAGGAAGTTTCCACAGAGTTTCCTGGTGATGTAAGTGAGAGTCAGGGTGACATGAGAACCTTTAATTCAGCATACGGTGATTGCTTCCTGCTCCTTCCCTTTGTAAAACTCTGAGTGAACGACGTGTTACCCCACTTTTCTATTACATGTGCAGACTTGATATTCAGGGGCGTAAAGATGGGAGCAATCATACTGACAATGTGCTGTCTGGGAATTTGATTATTATTCAAATATTCAAAATAAACACATATATATGCTGTGAGATTGCATAAACTGGATGTGATTTGTTTTTTTCTTTTCTTCTGTGCAGTACAGAATCAAAAACACTGACCCCCAATTTCCACCGCATCCAGAACGGCTACGAAAAGGCTGTATCCGCTGATCGTAGCTGATCGTAACCATTCAAGTTTATGTGTCAATTTCCACCGGCGGATTAGCCAGATTTCACAGCTGATCGCAAGAGTTTTTTTTTTTTAGATGCCGGAGCATGCGGGATAAATTCAGCACAGATTAACCCGGGCTGGAAAGGAAGTCAGGCACAGACACAAAATCAAACATCTGGCTTCTTTTCAAAATAAAACACTCCATGGTTCAGGCAGATGGTGTTTCACTCCATGCAAACGGGCGGGGACAAACGAGTTAAAGGTTTATAGACATCATCTCACCCCAATGACACCATAAATGAGGTGATGCTGATTTTATAAGTCTAGATGTAGATTTCCTCCTATGGAAGGACAGAATCTACTGCTTATATGGTTAGCCTATGTGGCTCAGGACAACATGTTATTGCGTGAATCCCGGGTTCTTGTGAGTTCTGGTGACTCCTGCTGTCCGTAATCCGCCACAAAATTTGCCTCACAAACGGTCCCGGTAGGAATTGGTGTACGGCGAAAATCGCTGCTGTTCCAGATCGGAGCCATTCTGGATGTGGTGGAAATCCCAGGTGACGCAGGACTAGACCTTCCTTGCGGACAGACGTTTACTGAAAATCCTTTACAGTGACATATGTGTAAGATCAGTCCATCAGGGTACTTTGCCTTTGATTTACAGCTCTAACACCTTTTTGAATGAAACAATACGACTGGAAAATCATGAAGTCTTCAGTGTTTTTTTAAGGCTCATGTGCACTGATGAGTTGATTCCCATGACAAAATCTGTGTTTTCTAGAATAAATGCTAGATTTCAGAAAACAGAGTCAGAATACTGTAGATATGTTCTGTGGTTATGTAAATATTCCTATAGACACATTTTATCAGGTACTGTTTGTGAGATTCCAGATGTCATCTTTAAGGTAAGAGAAAGTGTTTTGACTCCATGCTCATGTTTGAATCAAGATACATCTGCTGAGCCTGAGGTGAAAATAAGTAAGGTCATAAAAGTTTGCAGATGGTGAGCTTATATATATATATATATATATATATGAGTGTGCATTAAATGTGAGTGTGCCAAGAGTAAAGAATATACTGCTGGAGTGAGCAGTCAGTTTGTGGTCTTATTGTTAACAATGGCCTTAGTGATGTATATGCTGTACGTGTAGTCAAAGTAAAGTCTTTGTTAAATGGTTAACAAAGTTAAACTTTTGGTTACCTGCGCTTCTGGGTGCAAGAGCTATCAACTGTGTGTATTCCATCCAAACTCAGGTGCTTAAATTCAGTAGGCCTGCACAGATGGTATCAGTCATGTAGCTGATAATCTGATTCCTCTGTGTAGGTCAGGGGTGGACAATCATGTGCCATGGAGGGCCGAGAGGCTGCAGGTTTTCTTTCCAGCCCAAAACTCCACCAGGCGATTTCACTGATTAGTCCCTGCTCTCTGCTTGGAGGTAAGGTAATCAGTGAAATCACCTGGTGGAGTTTTGGGCTGGAAAGAAAACCTGCAGCCTCTCGGCCCTCCATGGCACATGGTTGTCCACCCCTGGTGTAGGTCATGAGGACACGTCAGTTTAAAACTCCCTACTTTGCCTTTAATGTTGCAGGAAAGTTAACGCTCAGGCTTGCTGTGTGTCATATCATAACGTTTCATTAATAAGACGCTCACATTGCACAGCTAGTCAGAAACAGCAGTAATCTCTGTTATTGCCATTTGTGCAAAGTCCTGGAGGAGCAAGTGAAGTTTGCAGTTTTTACTTGTGTTTCTGTAAAGCCTAACGCTGTATGACAAAATCACATCCTGTTTATCTCTGTCTGAAGGTATTGAAGAAGATGCTTCGTTATGTGTTGTAGCAGAATCTCTCATCACAGAGAGCCAAAGTTTTCTGAATGGTTGCCACGTGGGGGTGTTTTGTTTTTTTCTTTAAATCCTGGAAGCTGTGCTGTGTCCTCAGTATGGAAAGTGAACCAACAGCTGCAGCTCTTACCGCTGTCCAGGTGGTTGGACTTGATGATCCTCTCTGAGTACTCTGCAATACTGGAGCATTCAATCTGTCCGAAAAAAAACAGAGAGAGAGAGAGAGAGAAATAACTCAGCTGCTGTTCATGAAGGACTGTGGAGCTTTGAGGAGGACATGTACATGCAAGGACACATCCTCGGCTGATGAAGTCGACTTGAACTAAATCAGCAAAGAAAACATGAGATATCTGTTCTTCTGTATCAGAGCAAAAGTCAACTTGGTGCATTTTGGAGTAGATGGATTATTTATTTCTTTAATTGCAATTGATCAGGCTCAACCAGCATTGGTACATACAGCATGTCCTTATCAAATTGTTAAAAGTGATACATGAGTAATCCCTGTGGTCATTGCTGAAGCTGGTTTTGGTGTTGCTGTTTGTATCCTGCTTCGCAGATATGATTCCAGATCTTTAGGTTGCACAAAGGTATACATTTGAAAAGGGGGCAGCACTGATGATTTTGCACACTTTTATCTCATCATATCTTGATAATTGTGGGAGCTTTTTTTTCTGAATGAATCAAAAATCACTTGATCATTTCCAGACTGTGGTGAAATCAGCAGCCATGGTTTAAACAAGAATCAGACAAGATCATTTCAGTCCTTTTTAGCTTGTTTACCCCCCGTTTAAAGGACTAATTTACTTCAGTTTACTTCATCAGCCCTAAATTTACCTTCCCACTGCTTTATTGCAGACCTGTTGGTATTGTACACACTCACATGTACACTGAAAACCCTGGGCAGGACAAGTAATCATTACTTATCATCTGTCTGTAGCAATAATGTAGTGTGTTATTGATACTAATATAAATATAAATGACTTATGATAACTCCAATTTCACATTTTCTGACTGTACAGATGCATTTTTCTTATTTCATTTGTTACTAAATTTCAACACATTAAAAGCTAATCTGGTCTTTTTTTGTGTGTAATATCTTGACTTCTGACATCATTCTGGATTTGTTGGATAACTTCAGTTCATATTAAACCTTTAAAGCATTCATATTTTAAAAAATGAGAAAGAGAGAGTTGAATTTATTTTTTACTCTCTTATAAGAACTTTATCCTGGTAAAGTTCCTTTAAGAGAATTGTATGTCTTTTAAAACATGTTATTTCCTAATCTGTTCTCTTGTGCATCTGTTCTTGTAAAGCACTTTGTAGTTTAGTCTCTGAAGAGTGCTCCATAAATATAGTTTGTATTTATTGAAGAAGTAAAACTTGTCATGATTCCCAAATCTGTCCTTGTATTTCAAAGACATTATTCAGCACTCAAGTCTTATTCCCTGTCACTTCTGCAGACTGATTCAGTTTTTAGATACCTCTACCGTGTTTCCCATTCCCAGAAGCTTACTGAGAAAAAACTGCACATCTTTGACTCATGTTCGACCTTCAAAGGCAGTCCTCTGATACAAATCTGTGCGAAGTCTGTGAGCATGAATGTTTGTCAAACAGAGCAGCCACCACAAGGAGCTCTCTGCAGAAAAAAGTAAGGTCATCTTTATCTTGCATCTCTCTGAAGACGTGTCATATTCCAGTCCTTCAGAAAAAAAATCACCTCAGGCCTTCACCTGGTTAGTATATATGAAAGAGTCTTTAATAAATGGTTGAATTATTTATTATTTACAGAGGATGAGAGGACTTCACAACCTGACAGCTGCAGCCAGCGTAAGAGACATATGATGAGATGAAATAGCAAACAAGCTTTGACTTTAAAGGGATTTTTTTTTTCAGTGTTAGAGTGGGAGACAGGAAGAAGGTTTTTCTTTTTTTAACCATGTACAGTGTGCGACCTGTGAGCCTCATACCTGCAAATACCAACATGGGTGGGATAACCATCTGACCCTTGGATTAAACTAGCATTTAAAGAAGCTGAAAATAGTGGATAAGAGGAGAATATAAAGGAGTATAAATCACAGAGCATCCAACCTCTGTGCAAGCCCTGAAACACAGCCAGCCCAGAGCCTCCTATTTTCAGTAATTAAGCCAATGATTAGCCGCTGCTCAACTGCGACCAGCCCCCCAAGTCCCACTGAGACCTTTAACTTCTAGTTTCATTACTCTCTTGACATTTTAAATTCTTATCAATTATCCGTTCACAACTGCTTCTCTCCTTTGTCCAATTTCTCACCTCCTGTAACACATCTCCGTCACATGCTCCTTTGTGCATTTTGTCTGACACCTTTTCTCGGAAACCCTGAGCTACTATTTGTACCTCATTCTGCACACCCATGCAGAACTAACCGCTGATTTACTGCAGCTCCAGGAATAACAGAGTTGTAACGTAACAAAGATCCTCCATTCATCACAATTAACTCCAGACAGCTCTTGTAAGCAGCTCCAAAACAGAATTAGAGCATAATTCAGCAGGAGGCATTTGTCAATATGAACCTCTCATTGCATCAAGTAGACTGAGAGTATAGATTTTCACCTGAGTGTGCACAGCAAGTTCATCAGAGGTGTTCAGTGTCAGATCCATCTGGTCGTAATCAAGCAGAGGAGCCTTGACTGAACTCTGGGTGCTGCACAATTGGGGGTGGGGGTGGGGTGGGGGGTGAAGCCCTTAGTTGTGACTAGGGTTGCAAAATTTGGGAATTTTTAAAGTTGGAAACTTTCCATGGGCATTAACGGGAATATATGGGAATTAACAGGAATAAACGGAAATTAACAGGAATAAATCTGAAATTTACTAAATTAAAGGTTGGCCCTCATCAGGAACTTAAACATCGCTGGGGAAATTATATCGTAGCATAATCATGGCTAAAAACAACCAGATTTAATACAAGTACACTCCTCCATCACATACACACAGCACACTGCTTACTGCAGGGCTATTGCACAAGACATTTGAGCCCACAGACTATATAAAGTAAGTAGTTTTTGATAATATTATGGGGTAAATATATTTGATCTGTAATAGTATTAATATTTAACTTGCAAAAAGTAAATAAAAATAGGTGCTAAATGTAAGCTATTTTCCATTTCATTGACCATTGACGGGGCTACCTTATTATGATGGTGGTGGCTACCTCAAATGTGATGCTGTTTCTGCCGACTCTTGCAAGATGGTTTTCTGTAACCGTACAATAACTTATACATCAATTGTCAAATATTTTGAAGACCATTCCAGTTGTTTAGCCAACTATATTTCTGTTCATGCCATTGTTCATTGCCATTAATTGTATTATTTTGCATGGATGTCTGACAAAACAAAAAATATTTACACTTTTGTTTGGATATTATACAAAATCAACATAACTCTGTAGTGGAAGTGGGCTCAAAATCACACCCAAAATTAATGTCCATGATCACAGTTTTTCACTGCCTCACAAATGCCGGATAAAACCGAACCGTGCAAAGAGGACACAGTAAACCTAAATGCCAGTGATTACTCTCAGCTCAACCACAACATCTTCCTGCGCCAACTTCTTCGGCATGTCTCTGGCATCAAATCGACAAGTATCTTTTGAGTTTCAATACTTGGCACTATTTTGAATCAATTATAGACTTTGAATGATCCGCTGTGGAGGCAGCATTTTACACAGCACTCAGATTTTTTTGTAATTAGACATTGAAATTGTCATATCATTTAATTTCGTACAAACATGAACATAATCCTTCATAATATTCTATCCTTTTCTCTCTGGCTTCAGTTTACAACATGCACACGTGATGCACAGACTTGATAATAGCATCGCCTCCCTGCAGCGGCCCTATTCTCTGCTGCCTATTAGTGGAGGATGCTTTGGAGGCTGCTGGTGGCGCCCACAGCCTTCTGCCTGCATGTCTGTCGACTGCTCACACACAACACCAATGCCTCCGCCTAATGACTCACGTTGCACCAGGTGTAGGAATATGTGTGCACTTGCAGGCTTGTGTATGTGTGTGTGTGTTTATTTCTGTGCTGTAGGTGTGTGATAATAGCTCTGCCAATGACAGCTTCTAATTACCAATGATTTCTTGTCTCTTTCTGGATCTCTGAGAGAGGAGACAGCATTAGCCATGTGTCCATCAGTGTCAGTGGGAGTGCTGATGCCTCGCAGCATGTTTACAGTCATAAAGCCCGCGCACGGTGACTCAAACACCTCTCGCTAGTGCCAGTAAGACTCACTGTCACTGTCACTGTCCTCCCTCTGGGCTTCCTTCAGCCTTCTCTCTGGAGACACAGCAACAACAACTTCCTAAATTTGCCAAGGTATTACTTTTCCCTGTGACCTGCCAATCATACACCACCTAGCTAGCCAGGAGCCCCACGTATAATTGTGCTATGAAATATTGCATACTGTCATGTTGGTGAGAGTTTGGTTTAAGTTGAATTTCTGCAGAATATTAAGCTGCCCCAAAGTCTTTAAGTGACTGCTAGAGGTTAAAAAGTTTTTGCAACAAACTATCAGTAAGAAACTTAGCTAAATCCACCAAGTAACAGCCAGATCACCTGCTTGAGGCAAGACTGCAGGAGATTTGAATCCTAATAGATTTGAAAACAGGGTTGCATGACCCACATAAGGAGAAAATATGTATTATATTCTTTCTAATTTCAGGTTTATACAAACCACAAGTTGGAGAATAATGAATGGTGCAACACTCATTAGAGAATGTTATTACAGAAGCCTTGTGTCGCCTCATTTGACCTCCACATCATTGATTTAAATAGCCAGCTAATAATGTTTTCAGTGAGGGAAACACTGGCAGAAAGATTGATGAGAGAAAGGTCCAATGTGGTTCTCAGACTTACAGAGAGTCTCTTTTACTACCCGCTAGACTAAGCTCACTCCACATGATTCAACAGCTGATTTTTGGCCCTGTTCCCTTCTCCAAAAAATAGGAAAGTCCTAATTTTTTATCAAGATTTTCTTGTCAGATTTTCTTGGTGTGTTTAGAAAAGTTTCATGTTACGTTCCATTTACCTCGGAAGTTGGATGTCACAGTTGGGAGTGACGTTACACCCGAGTTGATGGTGTTCCAGTTAACAAGTCGGAAAACCAAGATGGATGCCTATTGTTTGCGGTTGTCAGCTGTTGTTGGCCATTGTGAACTGTTGTTTGGAGTTTGTTAGCTATACCAATTGTAAACAACGCATAACACAGTATTTTACTCTTAAAAACACCATAGCAACACATTCACAGTTAAACGTTGGGTAGAATGACATATACCACTTATTTAATCTCACAAAAACAAAACAGAAGTGCTAATAGATAATACATTATAAGAGCTTTCACTGTTACTCTTTACTGTTGATGCACAGCGCTGCCATCTTGGATCTTGACGCAGTGTCAAGTCGGGTTGGTGAGGATCGTCTGACTTTCCGAGTCAGAAATCTGACTTCAGGAGGGCTTTCCAGATAAATTTCCCACTCGGAGCTCAGAAATTCCGACTTCCTAGTACAACTAGAATGCAGCATTACTTCCCCCACTCTGCCCATAAAAGATTGTGGAGCATTAACTAAAGATGCCAAAATTTGAGATGTTCATTATCTAGGATCAGATAATTTAAGAACAGTTGATTATGCATTTGTTTAATGTGATTGGTACATTACACAAACTATAGCCCATCAGGCAGCATGCTGTTTGAAAAGGGAAGCACAACCAATCAGCAAGCTTTGGTCCCAAGAAATGAAGCAAATGATGAAGTGCTAAAAACTGCAGTCTCCGAGTTCCATCCACAAGAGGCTGGCTGCAAACATTTTAAAGTCACATACACTTCAGTTCAAAACAGTCATCTTCACAGCAAAAATCAGCATGTTTGCAGGCTGCTAAAAAAAGGAGTTTTTAGATCATTAAAGTCAGACTTGAATAGAAGTAAAAGTATGTTTGACTTGACTGACAGGCAAGCACACCATAACTGTTAGCAACAAGGCTAAGGGCCAACTAAACTCAACCTTCTTCTCTTATCAGGTTGGATAGGACAGGCTCTAAAACTGTGCTTTGGAAACTAAAGGGTGATGCTATGCATGTAAGTCCATGAAATCAACTTTAATGGTTGTCAAAAACAAAAGGTCAACATGTCAATTTGTGTCAACAGCATTAAGTTGTCCTTTAAAACACACAACAACCAAACTGACAAGATCTGGACATTAATTCCTTTCACGTACCAGATAGCTAGGCAGATAGCAACATTTAGCTTGACAACTGCGCCATTGATTGCCATGTTTGCTGTACGTTTGCTGCGTGTTTGACTGCGATAGATTTAGTTTGATTTTTAGTTTAGAGGGTGTGAAATCTGGTTGTTGGTGAATAGAATAGAACAGAATATTCCTTAATAGATCCCCCATGGGGGAATTTTTTTTGCCGCAGCAGCATCACAGACAAAGGTAGTGCAAAATGCAGTTATAAAAATAAAGATGGTAATATTAAGAACTTAAATAAATGTTATAATTAAGAAAAATTTAGAAAAAGGAAAAAGGGGAGAAGAAAATAAAATAAAATTAAAATTTAAAAAATAGAAATAAAAATAAAATAAAATAAAATAAAACTATATACAATATACACAATTTAAGTACCAGAAAAAAAGTAGTGGTGTGAGTCCAGTTTTATTGCAGTTCGTTGGAATAAGTCTCTCAGTGTGAAGTGCTGTGCTGTGTCGCTCATAACACCGCGTTTCACGCTTTAAGAAGTAAACTGTTAAATCTGTCATTATTTGTCATCATGTGTGGGGTCTCTGTGAGGTCTCAAACTTATTTTATATTCTTGAATTATTTTGATACTTCTCATTATTATTATAATATCTGTCTCAAATATCGCTAGTAAACAGGATCCCAAACCCTAATCTTTTTCAGATAATGTGAAGGAGAAAATTAGGTCTAAATTCTCCCCTGTTTTCAAATCAATAACAAAGTAGTTCCAGCTGTCTTCAGCATTGCTAGTTTCTTAATTAAGCGTTTCGAAAGCGTGCTATTGAATATCAGTTGGTTGCATGTTATTTGTGTATTTGTTTTATTATTCACACACTGTGCAGCATCTCTAAAAGCACCATCAATTGCCATTAGAGTTTCGATCATCCAAACATCTAAACCTCCCTCTGATAACATAAACCTTTTGATAAATGCTGTTGTACTTACTTTAAACCCAAGTGTCATGAGCAGAGAGAATCCGGATGCTGGAATAACCTCATTGTTTTTCTGACTTTGTGCCTCCAGGTAATAAATCAGGGACCGGTAATTACATCTGAATATTCACAGCTCATTCACACTTGGTTCTGGCTGATGATAGGCCCACTAAATGGGCTGCACTCCTCCACTTTATTGGATAAAGTGAGTCCAGACAGTCTCAGCCACCTGAGAAAACCTTCACAGAGTAAATTTGTAACTTTCCTCCAAGGAGAGCTGTAGAATAAATGGATATATTTCGAGTTTAAGAGCCTGTAGACCGCAGCCACTCCCTGTGGTTTTTGTTTCAGGGGCTGTGGGGGACTGTTCAAGTGGACAGAGCACAAATAATAAGTTATCACCTCAACATTTCTACCATTGAAGTAAAATAAAGATACTCCTGCCACACTGCAGCAGAGACTGAAGCTAACTGAATGCAGCATAGTAAAGTATATCTTCCCATTTACTGCTTGTTTAAGGTGGTACAAGAAAACCCTTTCCTCTTGAGGCCTGTCTTCAAACAGCTGCATTTCTCAGATCTTAAATGTCTATTAGTCCTGTCGATGTTTATGACTGCTACTCACACATGAAAAAGAAAAAAGAAAAAAACGGGTAAATATTGTCCCCGACAGGCAGAAACCTTCAATCTCCAAAACCAACTTAGAAAATACTGCAAAAACATCAGACCAGCTGTTGACATTTACTTTTCTTTTTTATTAAAAGTATGGTGTATGCTTGTTTTAAATTTGATGCTGGAAACACATTTTAAAGAAGCTGGGACTGGGAACTATTGATCATTGTGTTGCATCACCTCTTCTTCAACAATTCTATGTGAACATTTAGAAACCTACAGGACCAGTTTCTGGAGTTAGGAAGTCAAATGTTGTCCCACTCTTCCCTGATAGAGGATTTCAGCTGCTCAACAGTTCAGAGTCTCCTTTGTTGTTTGCTTCATGATGCTCATGTGTTCTCAGTGGGTGATAATCAGGACTGCAGGCAGGCACACATTGAAGTCAAGGTGGTGCTAAGGACTTTAATAGAGAGAGGAATAAAGGAACAATAAAGACTTTATAAACTCTCATTGATTATTAAAAAGTCAAATCTTATGATACTTGTGATGAGAGGCAGGTAGTGTCAGAGGGATTATGCAAGAGTGTCATTGAAAGGAAATGAAATATGCCAAGTCTCTCATATTCAATTTGTAGGCACGCTAGTGGGTGAGAGTTTCAACAGGAAGTAACATATTGGTTTCATTTAAAAAGCAATGCTACCGGCAAATCATCAGCGAACTTTGCAGTTTTATGTGTCTTGTTGATTAACTTCATATGATACTGTGATTTATCTCTATTTGATTTATCCACATACTCTTTTGTCACTCTCTCTTTGGTCGCTGCAGTATGGAGGACCACAGTAAGATCTTCTCTCAGCATTATCAGTTCAGGGGCATTTTTTTAGTGTTTGTGCTGCGTTTACTATCTTAAAATAAGTATAAGCAGGTGAAGAACTCAGCCTACTTATGAGTCACTTACTTCTGGACAATCACTGTGTCTCCCTGTCTTTCATCCCTGTGACACTGTAGTTGTGTGACAGATAGATTTAGCCATTGCAGAGTAAATAAGCTTTATGGACAATAAAATCTGCCCACTGTTATGAATGAATATTTACATTTAAAAGCACAGACCCTGGGCATAATAAAAGCCTACTTTCTCAGACAAAAAGTGCATTTGGGTCAATACAAGCTCAAAAATCTGGTTTTAATAAGTTGACATTTTTAATTCAGTTTAAGCTCTTGATGGAGAAGAAGTGTAGTATATCATTAAACCCGTGTCCCTGATGAAACAGCTTCAGTTCATATGGAATTTGGCACCGCTGAGTGTTTTATAGCTGCTTTGTGATCCAAAAAGAGGTTATCATTTTTCTTTTTTAAGTAACTAGGTCCACATGATAAAGTGGTGTTGTTGTTGGCTCACAGCCAGCCGGTGTCTCACCTTTTCCAGTCCATCTTTCATTTAAAAGCTTAGGGACGATGAAGGTTGGGCTTTGCTACAGGGCTTAAATGTAGAGCATCTAAAGCCAAGGTGAGCTATATCCTTAAAATCTTAGTGTCGTATTTATGGGGATAAAACCATGCGGGACAGGAGTAGCACACTGAAGTTATATTTCAGTTTGAAGTAAAAAAACAGGTGGATAGAAAAGTGGAGTGAGAGAGGAAGATGGAGGAACACATGAGACTTGACCAACCAGTAGCTCAGAACAAGTCTCCAAGCAATTCCAAGTTAATCACCCCTCCACTAGAACACATACTGTCTGTGTCTACTGTACAAGTTTCTTGTGGTCATCCTGCTTAGTCATGTGTATTTGCTGACATGCCCTGACAAGCGATTATTTCTGCACCAGCACAACAACACAGAGCTCTCATATCTCTTCAACTCAGCCTGTCAACCCGCTTGAAAGGCTGTACACGTTTATCACCTGCTTGTCAGACAAAATATCCCTCCAAGACTAACTAGAGTCTGGTGAAAACAGTTTAAATGCAGATGCGCAGAGAGCAGGTCTACTTAAATATCAAACATCAGCTTTGCAGTGATGGTGACAACACCCTGCTGAGAGGAGTCATGTCTTACCCCGTATACGTGCCTCGCTCCTGCTTTGGCTGCAAACATAGACAGGATCCCGGTCCCGCTCCCCACATCCAGAACTATTTTATCCTTAAAGACGTGCTTGTTGTGGTACATGGAGTTCCTGTAGGTGAGCGTCCTCACTTCGTCCTTCAGCATTTCCTGGTTTAAATGGACAAACAATTTCAGGAATATGTTGACACAGCTAAAACCTGGAGAGAGAAAATTTTTCTCTTAATTTAAAAACATGGGCTGGGAAATGGAGGTCTAGATTTGATGTGATACCTGTAGTGAAGCGGTGCAAAATAAAACCCTTCACCTAATCTAACTCTATTACCTCTCAGACATTCGCTTATACATTCAAATCCTCTGTTGGTGTGTCTGAATAAGCCCCTGAACCTGCAGGCTCAGCCTCTGCATCTCCTGTCTGAATCTCAGCTCCTGTCGCAGAGTGAGGGTGAAGAATATTCACAAGTGTTTGAAATATCCTGCCCTACATTCCCAAAATATATGAAAAGAGGGAGCAGTTTGGAGGTTACATATACACAACCTCACAAACTCTCTTTGCTTTTTTCTATCTGAACCAAACCTTCACGGGAAAAATTTGGTGTTTTTTGGTGTCATGTTTTGAGTGCGACAGTTACGCAATTTGACCCATTCTCACACCACATGCCACACTTTACATTTCTCACACTTATTTTTCCCCATTCAATACTCTGTATTTATTTTTTTCATGATAATTAACTTGGCTTGCCGAAGTTTGAGTAACTCTGATTGACTGACTGAAATAACCAATCCATCAGTCCTTTGTGCCTAAATCTAACCAACCACGGAAGGCACAACGCAATATAAACCAATCAGAAGTAACATAAGATTGGTCTTGGCATCTCTAACTCAGGGCTCTCAAGTTTTGAACTAAGCTTAGAGTGAGAGGTTCCACAAACATGGAGATACTTAATCCCATGGTACATCAGCATTACACTGTCATGAGTATCAGAACTTTAAAAAGAATATATGAGAAATGCTGCCTTTGTGGAGGGGAAAATGGCTGTGCAGAGGCTAAATTCGTCAATGCAGCTGTTAATAGCAATAGCATAGGGCTTTAGTTTATCACATGAGTTTATCTGTCATGAGGTGTTGAGGTCTCTGCATGTGTAGGTTACTGACTTACTGAAATCACCGGGTCTTTCTCGTCCTTGTGAAAACCTGCTCTATTTCGGCGAGTGTCTGTCTTCTTCTGTAGTCAAACCGCAAGATATCCAAATCTACCCGGATACAGCAATGCTGGTTTTTGATTGGCTGTTCAGTAGATATACTTTATTTGATTGGCTTGCGCGTGGCACGCAGCTTCTGAACTCTCAGAGGAACTTTCTACCTGTTCCATTGTTAAAGAGGTGCAACTTGTGGACATCACCATGTTCATTCAAATGCGTGAGAAATTCAATGTGTGGTGTGTGAGCGTGTGAACGGGTGGGAATGCGTGTGTCACACGCTGAATGCGTGAGACTTGAGAGCCCTGCTAACTATCTTTCACACATAACAGCGCCGACATATCAATCCCACTCGATGTAGTGCAATACATCTATTGTAACATTGTATGGTGTGCAACGTATCCAACTTACCTCAAGAAAATATTAATAATCCAGAAAAGATTCATAAGAATGATATCACGATCCAGCAAACACGAACCTTCGGCTCCTCTCTTTTCTAAATACTCCATCTTACCAATTGACAAACTCAATGTCCTTCACTCTTGTTTATATGTCCACAAATTCATCAACAACAAACAAGCCCTTCCTGAAACTTTCCGAAACCTTTTTACCTTTTCATCCGACCTTCATTCGTACTCAACACGACAAAATGGCCATCTTCAGTTACCTTCATGTAGAACTTCTAGTCATCAGTCTAACATCACTTTTAGAGGTCCGAAACTGTGGAATAATCTTGATGCATCTCTAAAATCAATATCATCCTTTAACTCCTTTAAAATATCATTAAAATCTCATCTGATCATGTCTTAAATACATCATTATCTGTTATGATCATCTCTCTTTCCTTTTTATAAATACTTTATTTTCTTTATCACTGTTTGCTGATTTGTCTGTGTTCCAGTCTGTGTACTTAGTTGTCTGCACCTTATGTTTTCTCTGACCTGACGGGAGTGGAACTCTGTATAAGCCCATCGGCTTCGTTCCCTCCTTGCACTGTTTTTAATCTGTGCTAAATAAACAAAAAAAACAAAAAACAACAAAAAATATATATATATTGATAAATAAATGTATTTTGTCAAAATTCTTATTACAATTTATATTTTCTAATTCCTTGTTAATTAAGAGTTGCATTAGGGAGACCAGCTGGCATGGAGGTGAGGACATCAATTTTAAGGTATAAATCGACATTAAAAAAGGCAAAAACTTTTTCGCCACCGGTGGCGAACACATCATAGCGCTAAAGTCTCACTCTTGTTATTTTCTGAAACTTGGCAGCCCTGTGATATAGTGGGTCATAAAAATAAGTGTAGGTTAGCAGGTGTTAGCAGCGGGTGTTAGCAAGCTTGCTAGCTCACATCCCTCTGAGAGGATACAGCACTTCTAAAAAAAATGACATTCAAAGATGAATTCAGTCCAGGAACAATTTTTGAGCCTGTACCTCATCGGGTTTGTAGCCAAGTGGACATTTATAGGTTATAATACTTTCTAATCATTCTTTTACCTTTTTCCATGCAGCACCAAACTTCAGCTCTATCAGCAACGACCATTACTTCAAAATAAAAGCCTGTACAGAAAAATTATCCAAATAAAAGCGTGACAAATGAGTGCTTCATGTGTCTTATTGAAGTTTCAGTCAGATGGCTAATGATGTGGCTAAGTCATGTGTACAGGGTGGCCTGGGATGGAGTAATATTCCTGAAATATCATCCCAGATCATCTGTAATGGCGTCGCTGAAGCAGGACTGAGTTCAACTTTAGGCAGAGCTTTCTCTACTCAAGGTTTAGAACCCTATTCATCAACGGGATTGGCTCATCAGTCCCCTTAACCATGGTGTTATTAAGGAGTTTTAGTATTTTTTCATCAACCTTCGATTTAGCAGTCTTAAAGAGGATGATAATAGACCTGGAAGGCTCATTGAGAAAAAGATCACAGTCAAATTGCTGTGAAAACACAGAAGAGAGGGTTTTTAAATAATTAGACATATTCGAAGAGAAAAGAGGAGAAGGGAACAAGATTAAATACAAAATCGATGTCTGCAGAGAACAAAGCAAACTGGGCTAATTCACAGTCTCTGTCTGCGTGGCCAAGAGCTTTGTTGTGGGTCTGTGTGAGAGAAATCCAGTCTGAGTCAGTGAGAGCCACAGTTGTGACTGCAGACTGTCTGCTCTACAAACAGCCAACTGTGCGTAAACTGAAGGAAAACTGTTTGCATTTCTTAAAACAACAGTGTTAACATCCTGTTTTACAATGCAAAGGATGATGCACAAGTGCAATTACTTATTTACATTCAGAAACAACTGCTCAGCAACAGACCATACTCTAACAGTGAGCATCCTTCTGAGACATCAATTTTATTCTGACATTTCCATTTTTCTCTCAAAGTTCACAATGGAAAAGATCTGCTCATCCATGGCCCTACATCTGTTCTGAACACAGTAACTATGAGCTAGAAAATTCCCTCTGAGAAATGCTGAAAGGGCCATAAGTGCTTCTGCAAATAATTAATACTATTAAAACTACTGTGATATTATATACAAGCAGCACACCTACAACAAATATTCCTTTAACTTCAATTATTGCTCTTTTTTGTGCTTGTCCCATTGACTTAAAGGTAGGGTAGGCAGGATCTGAGGAAGTGCCAGTTTTTGGGAGAAATCTTGAATGTAAACTCTACCCCTCCCTACCAGCTTTCCCCTCAGCTCCTCCTCTCTGCTCCAGAAAGCCCCGCCCACAAACAGACGCTTGTTTTTATGTTTCAATTAAATTCAGATATAATGCAGATAAATACTTCAGATAATTACCAAGTCAACTTGAAAGTAAAAAGCATTGGTGCTACTGTAGATGCCAACAGACTACCAGCAAACACAATGTTTGCAGGACTTCTACAACTAGGATAAAGTGACATACTCCAGGACCCGAGGTAAACAGTTTAGCAGAGCTACGACACGCAGCAGGTCCCGTTTGACAAGAAACACTTCTGTTACAGACACTTGGCTTACTTTGTTATGGCGGTTTACCTGTCCAGCAGAAAGGTTACAGGGTCCGTAAGATCCTGCAGCCTCCCCCATTGTTTGTGCTGATGTTGACCCAGCTTCTTAGCTCTTGTCCGGGTGGTCTAGTTACATTTTAAGCGCTCATTATTCTGCCAGAGTGTCCGGTATTTACTTCGTTTTCTTGCTTGTGTTGGCAGTCGCGGCTAAAGGAGAATTCAGATAATTTTCTGGTTGGTTTCTACTGTCCGGTATTGTCGCACGCTAACTTTGTTTGGGCTCGTGATCGACACCAGGGAGCAGCGTTCACCTCACAACCAATATGAAAAGGTTTTTTGTTTGTACAACACAAAAAAGATGCTTCTTAAACAGAGTCCTGCCTACCCCACCTTTAAGTGAAAAATTGATCCACATAGCTAAAAGATTCATATACAGTAGAGAACATTTGCACACTGATCCCGTTGAAACTGCACACTTTTTTACATTTCATAATCTAACATGTGAGCAGGATGAGCATCTTCAGAGACACAGGAATAAGGATAGCTCATAGGACATACCTCATGTATACCAAAGTGGGCGTAGGAGTCAAAGTAGTAGTCCCGTGATGTCATGTCTTCGGGGTTAAGGAACTTGGCCATCTTGCCCCGTCCGGGACAGCTTGGCAGGCTGGCAGCATGGGGGGTGTGTGGGGGCAGAGGAGGCCGGGGAGCGTGCTGGATGGAAGGCACAGGCTTGGGCAACGAGGTGGGCTGTGCCGACTGGGATGGAATAATGCGGATTGGCTGCGGCTGTGATTGTTGGTGCTAAAAAGAGACAAGAAAACACGTTTTTTGAGGGCTTGGAAGGAGAGAAACAAAACAAGGATGAAGCAGCTACTTGGTGGGACAGTATTCTTGGAGGTTTCTTATCCAAAGACAGTGATATGTTTTGACTTAACAGCTACTCAACTTAACATTTCAACTGATCTCATGCCTCTTAGCTCATCTGTCAGTCTGCTTTTCAATAAAATGGTCTGCTGAGTTCACAGTGAGTCCAGAGAGTCCAATGATTTTACGGGATGCTCTCAGGGCTGACATGAAGTCAGGCTGTCTGTCAACAGACGGTACGCAGGGACAGAAAGCTCTGCTCCTCACAGAAGGTACAGCCTTAATGCCCTGATGATCACCCCGGACGCCAGCTGGGGAGGTCCAGCCTCAGTGCCTCTGTGTGTGTGTGTGTGTTGTGTGTGTGTGTGTGTGGATTATAATTGTGAGAGAGCGGGAGACAGAAGAGCAGATCCCCCAGTATTTGGGTTTGAAGCCAGTAAGCCATTCTGTTGTTTATTATCTGTCCAATTTTCAGGCAGCTAAAAATAAATGTTAAATAATTGGCACGGTGGGCAAAAAATGTTGTTTTTACACATTGGTGGAAATGCTTCAGTGTAACAACAGCTTAATTAATTTTCAAGCTGGTTTGTGTGCCAGTTAATGGCTGTTCCACATTTAAAGGGTAGTTTTCTGTCTCCTTTATTAAGGCGGTTTAAGGAGTTGGATGAAAGCAGTAGCGGTTCTAGGCACGGGCGAACAGGGCAGCCGCCCGGGGCGGCATTTGTGTCATGACTCATGGGGGGCGGCACGAGCACTTCCAAAAAAATAAAATAAAAGATAATAATAATAAATCTTAACCGCAAAGCGGTTTTGTATTAACTGTTGTTGTCAAATTGGCGCCACCCCGCTGCTGTAGGCGCCCCTGCTTGCTCCGAAGGTGCTGCACAGAGGCTGACAGACTGTATGAGACGAGGCGGGGAGAGAGTCGCGGGGGGACAGCTCTGCTCTGTGTACGCATGTCAGCATATCAGCGGGAGCGCGGATACGTCATTTTGTAGTTTTTTAATCATTTCTGGAGTCGCGGTGAGTGAAATCACCGTACCCGTCTGCCTTTGATAGGCGAATAAAGCGCTCGGGTTCATGCTCGAATCTTGCTACGTGCTTGATGAGCTTCATGAGTAAAGTAAACGATGACGGAGACAGAGAGCAGCTTCAGAGGAGAAACATCCAGCAGTGTGAACAACCTCTTCATATGGAGTGCTTTGGCTCACACTATCAGCGTTTTCTCTGAGTGTTGCATGACTTTGGGTGAGAACAGAGATGAACACACTGTCAGCCACGTACTTATTTATTCATTTTTTAGTGTTTAGTTCTGCTTTTGTACTGGCACTATACTGGGGCAGCTGTTTACCCTTTCAACACCTTATTTTCTATATTTACATTTGTATTGAATGGACACTTTATCATGACTGCCACTTGTTTAACAGAAAGCAAATTATTTGTCATTCTCCAGTGCAGAGCCTTTACTTTTATTTATACAGCCGCTTCATTTCATTTAAGTTTGTTTGTTCAAGGTTTTCAAAAATGTGATGAAGGTTCGCAAAACTAAAAGAGAGCTTTCTTGAAAGCCACATGTTTAAGCTCTCAAATACTTTTTGAATTTTGTTTCGATCTACTACAGAGGCCGAGATAGCAGCTGTTTTGTAAACCTTAACACGTCAGAAAATCTCAGGATCTGGGGGCCCTTCTCAAAATGGCCCTCAGGATTTGTTATAATAATAATAATACTACATAGTAATACAAAACTATCTGTTCAAAATTCTATCTCTTTTTGTGTTTGTGTGTGTGTGTGTGTGTGTGTGTGTGTGTGTGGGGTGGGGGGGGTGGGGGTGGTGGTGCTCGCCCGGGGAGTAATTTGGCCTAGAACCGCCACTGGATGAAAGAATAACCTGCAGGGAGAGTGAGAGTCAGATCATTATTCTCAGTAACACCCCTTTTTAATTCAGAGCTCCTATAAGTAACTGTCTGTATTGAGTTTTGCGACCCGTGACCAAAATAACTCTTGTACCTTGCCAACTTTGTCTCTTGAAATTGTCAAGTGACATAAAATCTCCTCCTTGTGCTTTTCACTGTGAAATTTATCACCCACCATGAATATGTAACGATAATAAAGGCTGTTCCTTCAGTGTACTTAGCCCCTCACAGCAGATATAAGCAGTAGAAATTATTATATAGAAATGGTCAAAATTTGTAAAACTCATTTGCATTTTTACACCATAGAGAAATACCACCTTTTTATTTCTGTCTGTTTCATAACCAACAAAAAAAAAACTCCTTATAAAAGCTTTTAACACCACCTACACGAAATTAAATGGGTCATTTAGGCCGTTAACTAGAGCTGATTGGGCTATCATGATTTCATATCTACACCGCATCATCACTGCAGCGAAAAACTCATGGTGATGATACCATTTCTGTATTTATATAAAACTAAGTAAGCTTAAGAAAAGGCAAGACGAGGAGTGGAAAGTAAATCATTACATTTACTCATGTTATGTAACTGATAAGGTTTTTGGTCCTTTCTCTGCAGTTTTTTTTATCACTTGCGCGGTAGCATTGTGCGCATTCTGCGGGAAAGTCGCTGTGATGACGCTCCGCTCAAACAGCGTTGTGAGCGTTGTGAGCGTTGTGAGCTACGCAATCTTCATACACCTATAGGCTGTATCAGGTGTCAATCATAGAACATATTAACCCCTAATAACTTTTAAAAATGGAGCTGTACAGAAAATGTTTGTCCACCGCTCCATTAAGTTTGCTAGAGGAGGCAGGATTTATGATACTGCAGCCCGTCACTAGAGGTTGCTGTTCTCACGGTGGCTTCACCCGACGAGGAGGCAGACAACGGCCATACAGTTTATGGTGAAGGTATTGATTTTTTTCTGCATTTAAAGGTCTCAATTTCCCCTTTCTCGTCTTCCCTCTCTTCCTACCCTCACATTTATCTTGGTCCTCTTTTCCCTGCTAGACTTAAATGCCACAGATGAGGACATTATGACCAAGAAAAGGATGCAGGAAAATAGCTCTTCACAGGACGGCACACTCACAAAGGCTGACCCAGGTCAGGTCAAGAAGATGCTTTCAGCTGTGCCACTTGTTGAGCCCCAAGGATGGTCAGTCCACAGAGCTGCTCCAGACTCAGTTATGAGCTCTTGACATGTTAACATGCTTCTGTTAACTCTAAACCATGACTTCAGTCATCTCAAGACCCTTGAAATACCAAGTGTGTCCTGTTGCTGCAGCTATATCGTAGATTGTGTCACAAGAAAAGGACCAAAATCCACTCTTCAGCACAAAGCAAACATGAACTGGTTTGTCACCTAAGTTATGTCATTGTTTGGTTGGGCACATTGGCTCTTAGCAAAGAGACCAAAGCCCAGTCGTCTAAACTCCATCTCTGATAAATCAGCGCTCCACTGATGACTTTAAAACTCTGCTTCAGACAAGAATGAAGACATCACTCAGACTGAGACTGTCTGTGGCTTCAAAATACCTCACTAAAAGGTTGATATCACTGAGACTGCATCCAGGTTTACTCCGTGATCGGAGCTCATAATTAAAAAAGAAACAACTTTTGATCTTTGTTAAGCTTTCATCTGTGGAGGACGCTCTATCCCTTTGTATTAACCTATTTCTTTTATGAATATTTTCACAGCCCACCAATTATTTGGATCATCAAGAAAGCTTTAAAGTTGAGCTTTTATTGAGGTGTTACTATCATCAATATTATCACTTTTTTAATATGAAGTCAGTCCAGGGAAACATCATCTGTTGTGCTCCCCTCTGTGTAAAACATTGACAGTGAAGCAAGAAGGGAGTATTTTAAAAGCAGCCAACACCAAAGACAGTGTCACTGGATCGATGAAGTGATTCAGGGCTCAATAGCAAATCTATTTGGACCTTCTTATAGGTTTATTGCAGATAAATTGAACCACTCCAGGCTGTGATTCATGGTTTGTATTTATAAAGACAGAGTTTGGTTAGAGGAGAGCAGCTGCACTGAATCTGACTGACGGGCTTAGAGAGTGGCGCCCGTCCTTGACTCTAACACTCCAGACATATTATCAAATTTGTGGATCTATTTCTGTTTGGATCCTCGCCTCTAAGTAAAGGTGAAGCTTGCCATTTGAGAAGGACATGAAATCGGTGCTTGTGTTTCGTAGAAAAGGACACAGTGTCACTTTGCACCTGTTTGACTGCTGAAGGTGACCCCCATTAGTCTACTCTTACTCCTGAAATCAGAGGGGCGGGTCAGGAGGTAGATTAGAGGAGACTCTGTGAGTTTTTTTTAACAGATGTCCAGGGAGAAGTACCTATAGATGGCTTAAAGACTCTAATGGCCAGCTATAGAGAGGTTCCTCTTTAATCCCTTCATGGAAAAGTCTTCCTACAGTCAGTAAAGAGCATTTGGTCTTCTGCCATTACAGCACTTAGGTGCCCAAGAGAGCACAAATGTTTCAAAGGAGCAGAGAGCAGTGGAAGTCAGATATTCATCCCTCCATCTCTTTATTCATCCAGGCAGTGTCCACTCATTACAATGCACCAGGTGCCTCCTGGCCTCAGACATGAATGGAGCAGTAAAATTCTGAGGGCTTCTCCCCCGGATGAATTTGCTTTGAGAAAACTTTTATTTGATGACTAATGTTTAATGAAGCAACATGCTGCTTGTCTCAGACTCCACAGGGAGTCTGAATCTTTAAAGCAGGTGAATCAGCAGAGCTGTTTCAGCGTGTAGTCACTCTGTGAATACAGATGTTGCACAGAGGACTCTATGAAACACAGGGCTCATGCTGTGTCGATCTGCATATGCTGCTCAATAAGACGTTTAAGTTCATGGATGTTTGCACAGGTTTTACTGGATTGCAGATCACACTGATGACAGTGTTCATTTTTTTTTTTTTTTGAAAGGAGGGTCTGCAGAGGTGGACAGAAACTCATTTTCAACACCCTCGGGACTCAGGAGCCACAGTGAGCTGCTGGCACCTCCCTCCCTCTGCTCATCTTCATTCCTGCTCCTCACATCAGGAGCCAGCGGGAATCTGCGCGGTGCTGCAGCACCTTGGACAGCGCAGCGGGGAGCAGCAGCTCCCACTATTTGCAGCATATTCCTTCTCTGACCTGCTCATTTCGGTAACGAGATTAAAACACACATAGAATTTTTGAGGACACTGTCTGAAGGACCTCCAGCTAAGAGCAGGTGGCTTTCAAATGTTGGCGGTGTCAGCTCAGAGAAAGAGGACAGATGCTCGATGTAACATCCTCTCTGCTCTGCCTGGGAGTAGAATGAGAGTAATCATGCAGTTTCTTGCAATGAAACCCCTGCAGAACAACCCAACCTACATGGTTAAAAATGACACCAGCAGTAAAGTGTTGGACGATTATTTAATCGCCGTCAGAGGTCTTCACTTGCCTTACGCCTGCTCTGCATAAAACGCCTGTTTTTTCGTCTGCTCTCACAGAGGGATCCTCTCACTCACACTGCTGCCTCCTCCATCCGGACAGTCCTGCATTTAGTCCGACATGCAACTTCTTCTTCTACAAGTAGGACGCATGTTGCAGGACGCATTCAGCACTCAGGACAGCGTCCGGAAATCTGTGCACCCTCACATTAATCTGACAAATAAAAGGTGTCTCTCACACTTACCTCACTGCTCTCAGACTCCGCCATTTTTCTCCTGAGGAGCATGCAGCGGGACGAGTGCTTAATTCCCATAAGAGCCAGCAAAAAAAAAAAAAATATGCAAAGTGAAAGAAGATCAGAAAACGCCTCCCTCCAGATAACTCAGGCTCCTTGCTCTTGCATCCAATAATTCTCATTCACATCCCAAACTGCGATTATCTTTAGAAATTCTAAGAGTATAAGAAGAGAATAAACTACACCGGGTCCCAAAAGCGCTGCAGCCACTGGTGCCAGAAAGAGTAGTGGATTCCATGGTGCAAAAGTTTGCAGTCCGCCGGTGTGCTTTCCTGGAGAGCAACAGAGGGAAAGGCATCATTTGGTATCAGCTGAGAGACGATGGATACAGAAGCAGCATCCTGTCGCATGGCCCGGTGAGCTCAGATAGGAATCTCAGAGGGTTGCAGCAGATTGTCATGAAAACACTGTTTTAGCCCCAGTTTGATTGATTCCTCTACCGCAACATTGTTTCTAAAAATAGAAACGCGCCCGCTGCCTGCACGCCGAGTGGAGAGACTCTCTGCTGAGTGCATGCACAGAAATCTGATGAGTCTCACATCCTACCCACGAATTTCTCATGAACACATGACTACTATCAGCGACCCCCGAGCCGTCATCTTTAATGCAGCCCCTCCTGAAGTCCAGCTCCGTTTACCCCGCTCTCAAACGTCGTCTGCATGCACACGGAAAGTTGGAGGCGATGTGTGCTTTAGTTGCACACACAAACACGAGAGAGAGAGAGAGAGAGAGAGAGAGAGAGAGAGAGGGGGGAGATTGCGAGGAAGTGTCCACTCCTGGCTCATTGGCCGGAGGTGGCTGCTGTTTGCACGCCTGTTCTGGGCCTCTGCTTCACCTGCTCCTCTCACTCCAGGGGTGAACCAGGACACACTCTGGCTTGATGCATCTTTACCCCTCAGCTTTGACACATTCACACCTCTCTAAAAGCTGACCCTCTCCCTGTAGACATCTCTGCCGCAGAACCATTGCTGCCATGCCAGTACTTCATGAACTGTGTTGTTCAACTCGGGTGATCTCCAGAAATATCTCAGTTCATGCATTCTTTCTGTAAAGGACTGCAGGCTGCAAGGCCATTTGCTGTCAGAAATGTTTCATAACTGAGCGTGTGTTTCTGTAAAAAATATATATATATATTCTCTGCTTTTGCACAGGAGTCTATTTTGAGTAGAGGCCATCCCTCTCTACCACCCACACCACTCACCACTTGTTACATTATTCATCAGTGAGGGTGAGCAGGCACTCAGCAGGCAGTGAGCACGCACCAGGAGAAAGAAGTGCCCAAAAGCTCTTCTTCCTGCACAGTCAGTGTGCTGTCATACACAAAAATACACCTGTTATAAACCTGTGTAAGGCCTGGATGCAGCTAAAAACTCAGGTTGCATTTAGACAATGATGGTCCCATCATATTTGTGCCCTGGAATCTCTTGTGGTAACTTTTTAGCTGGCGGTTAAACAGGCTGGAATTAATACAGGCACCTCTTTGTGACCTAAAATAAAAAGTTACTCTTCCTGCATAGTTGTTTTTATATCTGGCAAGAGGCTGGTGTTGGACCAAGTGCTTTACCAGCAGATAGAGACATTTTCCATGACAAACCCTTTGACTAAGCGATAATTTTGAGTGCAACAAGAAAGTAAGATGAGATTGTTTTGTCACTAATCGCACACTGGGACCAAATCAGCAAAGAGCACTTTGTCTACAAGTGGCACCAAAGTTAAGACAAACCAGAAGTTCCCCACAAAACGTGAAGAGAATGTAATCTGCAGGATCTGTACAAGGTGCAAAAACAAATAAAATTACTGGCATGGCCAGTAGTTGGCCACTGAGGAACACCATGAGCCTGCATGTGTAAGTGTCCTTAATAAAGTGATGACTAATAAGTGTTTGACTGAGGACTGCATGTGCAAACTGGGCACCTAATTCACCATTTTCATAGAGAATGCATTCATTAGTGTAGCATCAAGACAACCCTGTGTGTGAAACTCACACATTCATCACAGGAAAGGTTCATCATCTGTTTCCAGGACTGAGGTTCATATAAATTTTTCCAGACTTGTTTGGACATTCAGGTTACACTATTGATCCAACCACAAGTTGAGCCAAACCTCTGGCTCTTCTCAATCGGTCAATTCAAAGAAAAAGAGAGTTTTTATTACTTTTACAAACTGACTCCATCATTGACAATCTGAATAATCATTCATGTCCCAGGTCTCCCATTTGAGATTTGCTGTCTCAACCTAAAGACGTTTATTATTCAAATCAAATTCAAATAGCTACATTAGCTTCTACAGCAACAGAAGACATTTTCTGCTGCCCATCATACTCTGTCTGTATTAGCAGAAGTTAGTTAGTTTCTGCTAGATTAGTTTCTGTGGTGACTAACCCGTGATTTCCACTGCATCCAGAATGGCCGCGATCCGGAATGGCAGCGTTTTTTGCCATACGCCAGTACCTACCGGATCCGTTTGTGAGACGAATTTCGTGGCAGATACGGACATCAGGAATCACAAGAATTCACAAGAACCCGCAGATTCATGCACGATAAGTTGTCTGTAGCCACATCAGCTAAACATATTAGCAGTAGATTGTGTCCTTCCAGAGGAGGAAATCTACTTCTAGACTTCTAAAATCAGCATCCTCTCATCCACGGTACCATCCTGATGATATGCGATCTGAAAACCCTTCACTTGTTTGTCCCCGCATGTTTGCACGGTGTGAAATACGATCCGTTTGAAACGCGGAGTGTTTTATTTTGAAAAAAAGCCGGATGTTTTATTTTGTGTCTGTGCCTGACTTCCTTTCCAGAACAGGTTGATCTGTGCTGAATTTATCCCGCATGCTCGGGCGTCTGGAAGAAAAAGATCTCCTGTGATCAGCTGCGGAGTCTGGAGCTCCACAGCAGAGTGGAAAGAAGTTGGTGGAAATTGACACATTAACTATAATGGTTATGATCCATGGATACACACTTTTCGTAGCCATTCTGGATGCGGTGGAAATTGCCGGTAAAACTCTCCATCATACCTGCTGACATCCTCCTAATTAGCTGCACCTGTGTGCTTTGCGAACCTCAATACTTTTTTACCCCCTTTCTTTTCTCCATTCATCAAATGCTACCTCAACCTTCTTGTATAACTTGGCATGGTGTTGTTATGGCAAAATCTGTAAAAATTCATCCTTCTGGTTGAGAAACAACCTTTCAATCCCCACTGACTTGCCTAAAAAGACCTGACAAGTCTACAAATTACAGGTCTTTCTGGAGCATGTGGATCAATATTCCCCCTTGGAGACAAATGATCCTACAGTCAGGCAGATTACTCTTACAGTGTTCTCTGATCTCAGCCTAATTACTCTCCTATAACGTGCAGTATCATCCCTCACTATGGCAGCAGATGACTTGGCGTTCTCACTGGGTTGTCCTTATTTTTCAGACTCACACAGAGAGGATCAGAATCTCAGATGCACTGAAATCACTTCAATTAGCTCATTTTTCCCTCCTTTTGATGCCTATCTTCTGCTGTTTTATCTGCACACAGCTGACTGAGGCTCAAAATATTTCATCTTTTTGTTTCTGATAAAAGACCAGTGTTGAGATCAGTGTTAACAGTCCGTTGTCCAGAGCTACAATAATTGCTTCGCCCTGTCTGATACAGCGAGGAGGGCTTTGACTGTGTGTCTTCGTGCACAAAAAGCTAGTCATTATCATGGGAGGACACTGCGGCTTTGTGAAGCTTAATTAAGCAAAACTGCCACTTTCATTTTTGAGAAGAACTTTCTGAGAAAGAAGCAAAAACAGCCTAGACTTCATTAACTTCATTGCACAGTCACCGCTACAGGAACGACTGTCAGATATTGTTTAATGAAGTGTTTATACTTAATTATTCAGCCCTGGCATATGGTAAAAGGGTAAGCTCCCCTGTGTTTGCTGCTCTTCTCCAGTTGCTGTGAAGTTGTATCTAATAAATATTCAGGTTATATTTCCTTTTTACACCCACCTTCTCCCCTGTGCTCTTGTTTGATTTTGCTTCAGTGTCTATTTTCAGGGTTGTGCATTCACAGCCTAGCATCTGTATATCTTCAGCAGCTGTAAATTAACTGTTTTATAGATGTTTCTGAGCAAACACAATTTTACAGACATGGATGTTAGTGCTATAAAATAGACACAAAAAAAAGATATTTAAAAAATATATATATACTTGTTAAATTTTATGCCAACAAAACATTTCAGAGAAGCTGGGACAGGGGCAACAAAACATTGAATCATGTTGTAATACAAAATAAATGATTAATAAATAAATAACTGGAACACATCCACTAGCTAACCAGGTTCATTTAAAAGAACATGACTTGGATTCAGGGTGACACAGTGGTGTAGTGGTTAGCACTGTCGCCTCACAGCAAGAAGGTCCTGGGTTCGAATCCGGGTCAGGGTGTTTCTGTGTGGAGTTTGCATGTTCTCCCTGTGTCTGCGTGGGTTTACTCCGGGTACTCCAGTTTCCTCCCACATCCCAAAAACATGCAGAAGTGGGGTTGGGTTAATTGGCCACTTTAAAATTGCCCATAGGTGTGAATGTGAGCATGGATGGTTGTTTGTCTCCATGACAGCCCTGACATAGAGGCTCCAGCCCCCCTGTGACCCTGAGAGTGGGAATAAGTGGTGGAAAATGGATGGATGACTGGGATTCACCACTCTGTGAGAGACTGCGTGAGAAAATAATTCAGCAGTTCTGTTATCTATCATTAAAAGATTCAGAGGATCTGGAGAAACCTCTGTAAGCAGATCCGCCTGCCGTGCCGGAGCAGAGTGGAGCCGTTCCGGATCCTGTGGGTTTTAGCCGTAAGATGTACTTCAGTGAAGTGGAAAACTATTCAGAAGTCTGATGAACCACAATTCTGATTTATTTTTGGAAATCATGAACACCATGTTGTCTGCTTTAAGAAGAGAGGGACCACCCCGCTCATTACTAGTGCACAATTCAAAAGCCAGCACCCCTGATGGTAAGGATCACCAGAGTCCATATCATGGGTATCTTCTACATCTGAAAAGGCTCCTAAATGCTGAACAATATCTACAGGTTTAGGAACAACTTCTGCTGCCGTCAAGACAAAGACTTTTTCAGGGAAGACTTTCATATTTCAGCAAGACAATGAAAAACTACATTTTGACAACAGGGATTACAACAGTGTGGCTCTATAGTAGAAGGGTCCTGCTGAGACACTAGCCTGTCTGCAGTCCTGACCATTTAAAATATGCCAATAATAAAATATATAACACAACTAATGACATTTTAATGACTGATTGTAACTGATTGTATAATAGCCAGTGTTTTTTTAATGTATTTTAATCTCTATAACCCCCTAAATTTTTTTGTCACTGCTATTTTTCATGTAACAATGTGACAGGACTGATTCTCCTGCTGGTTTTAAGTTGCCCTTTTCTCTTCTTGTTTACTTCAAATTCTATCAAGCTCCCAGTCTATTACAAAGGTCAGAGTTTCAGCAGACCAAACATGCATAAATGAAAGAATCTGATCCCTGCAGTCCTCCAAGGTTACCTTCAGAAACTGAAAACTATTTTATGTTGTTTCAAGAACTTTCCATAATGTTTGAAGAAAAAGTCCCTAGTCTACATCTGAAAAGTTAGATATTTAAAAGTGTTTCCTTGGGAAATGATGCCAAACCTGCTAAAGCTTCACTTAAGTCATTAGCGGGAAGAGAGCAAGCTTGTGTCACTAGTTATCAGCAGCTTTTAACCCTCATAAAGTGAAGATGAGTAAATGAACATCATGGAAAACCTGCTGTTTTGTTTGAAAAAGTCATTAATTTATGACGTGACCAACAGGGGTGCAAATCCAGGTTAGGGATTATTTATTTGCACATGATTCAAAGAAAAAAAAAATGCCAGTCCATTTAATTTGTATCGTATAATTGGACGCCACTGTATCTTTATTAAATTGGTGGCAGGTAGTGGGTATAAGGCTCAAAGCTTTCAGAGTTAACAAGGTCGTGTGCAGCTACTGTGCAGAGAGAAAAAGAGTCAAGCAGATAGCTTTCTCTAAAACCACCGGTTGTTCACTGGCCTAACATCAGCAGGAGAATATAGGTAATTGGGTGCTTTGTTTGTTTTTTTAAGAAGGATAAAAGTCATCAGTCAGAGATTGGAAAAATGTACTGGGAGTCTGACAGCTACCCCGGTGGATTATTGGCCCTTCTCAGGTTGGTAAACTCAGGATCTCATTACTGTTAGTCATTAGTGTTGTTTTCCCACTATCACGCCCAAAAACAGATGGGCTGTGTTTCTGACAGCTCTCTTTCCGCAATGCATCAATCACTGTTTTCACAGTTTGTAAGGCCATCCTTCATTATTCCCCCTCCCTTTCTAGCAAAAACCCGATAAGACACAAAGCAACTGTAGGCTCTTTTATTAGCTTTCCTGAAGGAGGAGCACAGCCATCATCTGCAGTGTTTGCTGTCAGTTATGCCGGTGTTAGAACAAATACTGAATAACTTCACACGCCTACAGGCTACAAAACACTCACACCCAATACACTTGGCTGCTGCTGCCATTTTTAATATGGTGGCTGAGTCTTTTGCCTTATTTTTTCTTTTTTGTTTTGTGTTGATAAGACCTTTGTGTTTTGAAATGAGGTGGTGGATAATGGTAGATGAGAAAAGATGAGCTGCCATTTATGCCTACAGTGAAACAGTATACGCCAAGATGATGGATGAATCAAGGGAGGAATGAATCCTGTGAAGTTCTTTCTGTGGGTTGTTTCTAAGTGGTTTCTCCCATAGACCGTAGAGGACATAAGTTTGCGCTCTGTGAGGTCACCCAAAGGTTCCTGAAAACACAAATTGAAGCCCAGCACTGACCTGCAATACTGACCCTACCTAACACTATGTTTCATTGCCAAAATCACTAACTCCACCTCTGTGAATTTAAAGTTACCCGAGTCTCATCCCACTTTCTATGTGTCTCTACTCAAACCTGTGTCCTCTAGTGACCTCAGCCCTCTGGCCGTACCCCCTCCACTGCCCTGGATCATCAATGAACACTAAGCTTTCTCAGTGTCCAAGGTTTTGGGAAGGGTTTTCAATACTTGGTGGACTGAGAAGGTCACGGTCCTGAGAAGTGATCCTGGATCTTATGTAAGCATATTCCAGCCAATTCTTCCAACAAGCCTGGATGTGCCAGGAGGCAGCCTGGCTCTCCCTGCACCTTCACACCTGCACCTAATCACTGCAATCACCAGCTGCTCTGATGCCTCTCCAGTGCCAGAGTATTACCACTTCTCATGTGGTACATCGGCTGACTTTCCTGAAGTTTTTATGTGCCTCCCTTGTGACTTACTTGTGTTTGCTCTGCCTTTTCCAGTGCCTCCATGAGCCCGGCTGCAATCCGTCTAATCTCTGCGACACTGCCATACTCGCTCTGAAATCACTCACCTGCTTCAGCCACAAGCCCTCATGCCTCCAGCCCTCAACTCTCCTTGGATTCCCTCCTCATGTCTCAGACCCTGGACCCTTTCGTCCACCTTTCCTTTATCAATAAATTCACTCCCTACGATTCTGCTTTTGGGTTCAAAGTAAAACAACTGGTATCAAACCCTGAAATAGAAACCTATTTAAAGTTGACCCTCACCCTACTGCAACAGAAATGGTCTCCATAATGCACGTCCAGCAAAGGACTATCCAATCATATTGGAGCTATACAGATTCATGGCTCGTCTACGAATTTACAATGGCCATAGATCATGCTTGCATTGTCTACGGCCCATCATACCAGATAAAAGCAGGGTTTGAACTTATTTTCTTCCTCAGGTCAATAGCCTCGATGTAGATGTCTCTTGTAATGGCAATTCAGCCTCTTTTTAGAGATCCAGATCACTTGGTCCAGCAAGAGCCTACACTTTCAGCTCTAAGACCACTATCTATGCACAACAGCTGGCTTTTAAAGCCAAGTTGTTTACGATACATCATGAGATAATTTCTACTTAGTGTAGATACTGTCTGCTGTGCTGTGTTTCTGCTGCAAAGTCAGGTAACAGAAAAGTGACAATGTTGAAGAAAACTGAAACGTTTTTCTTTATCATTGTTTGTCTTTTCAGTTAAAGAAGGAAAGACAATATTTTTCCAGTTCACCAGACTTCTAATATTTATATGTAGGCTGATATTATTTTGGATTATATTATTTTAGATAGGTCCCTAAAGAAGGAAAATAGCTGCAGTATAAAAATGGCTGATTGGAAGGACTCAAGCTATTAGATGTTTTTATGCTTGATACTAACGCTGAAGGCAAATAACATTACAGTGCAGCTTCCAGGTTGACTTTGATTCACATTTCTGACAAAAAGGGATCAAATCAATACTTGAAAGTGAAAACCACATCAGACTAGGCCTGGACGATATAGAAAAAAAGCATATCGATAAAAAATAAATCATATTGATCGATATCGATAATTATCTATATAATTATTATAATTATTTAACATATATTTTAATTGCAGCCCTGGATGTTTTATGCTATTGCTTAATGACCTACTTTTAATAAAGAACACACAAGCACTGAATTCAAATTCAAACCTTTATTCAACCACCTTTTTTTTTTACCACAACTTAAAGTTTTTTAAAAAAGAACTTAAAAAAAAAAAGAAATCAACTCAAGTGGCCTGAGTGACGTCAGTAAATACTGACAAACATAAAGACTAAAGTGACCAGAAAATCTGATAAATAAATATTTAAATAGTATTTTGATGAAAATAAACAAATATATAAATAAACAGAATAGCTTTAGGTGGGAATAGCATACTACCAGTTTTAACTGTGTGGGAAACTGCCCACAGCCTGGTGTCTGAACACTGAAATATTTCTCCCGGGGTCGGGAGATTTATTTTTTTTAATTATCATGTGATTGACTTGATACGCAAACTGAGCACGAGAAGCAGGACTTATCCACCTCGGTGTTGTGTTGTAGAATGCACCCCTGCCGAATGCACCCCCTGCTAGTAGCCATGATTCAAATACTTGCATCTTTGTAGAATATGAGCTCATTTTCTTCCACTTTAAGAAGCTAATGAGTGGACGGGATGCAGGGGTGCATTCTACGGCACAACACCGGAACGTATTTCCTCCGCACCCTTCTCACCTTTTCAACCCCTGACCCATTTTCATGCCTGAAGCGCTGTGTTTGAGAAACACTTGCGGCCGGGCACATATCATATCGCGGGTCGAGAGTGGCTAGAAGCTGGTCGAAGCCAGGCTTTTCAACGGTAGTTATTGGCAGTATGTCCCTCGCTATGGAGCATGTTACTGCATGGGTGATGTCCTTATGCCGCTTGGACGCTTTGTCGTATTTTGGCAAGAAACGAAGTCCAGTTTGGTCTGCTTCACTTGCTTAGTGCTGGTGCTGGCAGCGGTTCCAGAGGATTCCTCCTCCGACGACGTGGAGCCGCGGCGCGACCGACACAGCTCGTACTCCTGCGGGTGCGACCGGTTTAGATGGTAAAACAAGTTGGTTGTGTTACCAGACTTGGTTATTACTAAATCTCTGCAAATTTTGCAAACGACCGCTGTTCGCTTTTTGTCAGACTTCTAAAAACCAAAACATTGCCATGCTGGTGAACTACTGAAACCTTTTTTCGGGACATTTTCCTCCGCTTCTCCTTGCTGTAACATTCTAATACACGTGCTGTCTGTTGTGGTTTGATAGGGGCTGGGCTTGGTGCCGTAGCGTACCTGGGTCTGCGTTTGTGATTGGTTGGGAGGAAGTAATGACTGTAGTAAAAGCTACATGATAGGCTATGATGAAAAAGAAAGGGAAACTGTGTTTTTCTATCGAACTTTTTATCGACCCGTTTTTTTTCTATCGCACCACACGTCTATCGATCGATATATATTATTATCGAATTATCATCCAGCACTACATCAGACGCTTCATGCAGAACCCCCTGATCATTGCTGGGGTCACTGAAAGTACAGCATTCTGGTGGATATCTATTTTCAAGCTACAGAAAACTTGGCAACATCTAGGTATTGTACTTTCATGGAGGTTCGCTCACACAGACACAACCCTTATTTTCCGTTATAATGAGCTGCTCAGTGGAGTTCTCTTTATGAGAGGACTGTGTATTGGAGATGCATCACATGAGGCTGAATTCACTGACTATTAGTTATGATGTGACTTTGCTGAGGCGAGGAGGGAGTTTGAGGCTCATGGGAGCAACAGAAAGCTGGGCACGCTTGGAGGAAAATCACACAAATGTTTCAGCCTCACACACACAGAAACAGTCTTTTATCATCCCTGCATATTTTTGTCATAGGAGCAAGGCTAGTGGTTTTTCCTTTGGTGACAAAACTGGTACATAAAACGAAAGCAGATGTTTAACTTTTTCCAGGAAATTTAAAGTAAAAAACAAAAGTGTGCATGTTAAATGAAAAGCTGAAGATGAGAACCTGGTCAGAGCCCTACCTTCTTGTCAAAGCAAGTACTACAATGTCCCTAGAAGTCACACTCTCTTAGCTAATGGCGATTGCACTACTTTTACTGAGTCTGTTTTCTTCAGTTTGTTCAATGACTCCTTTATTCAGCCTTGTGTCTTGTAACCTCATTTTTCTGCACTTTCCTCCACTCTGCAAGCTAAAGTAACGATATAGTATGAAAAATATCACAAATTCAACATGCAATACTATTCATTGTTAATGCAACAGTGTCAACAGGGAAGGCAAACCAGAATCAAGTATTTGACACAGACGGGTAAAAGTGAATAAAAGTAAACAAAGTCAAAGTGTCTCAGAAATAGATGCTAAAAAGGCTGAGTCATTTCTAACACACTGCAGCAGTGACTGTTTTGGACTTTCCCACAAAAGCACTGTGTGAGAGATTGAGGTCATGCTGAGTGATGAGGTAAGTGATGTTGCAGCCATGCAGGAGGGCTTTGGGGGCATGACCTACAATGTTTGGCCTCATATCCAACAACATCAGAGTCTGAAAGGAGGTTAAAGACTGAAAAGTAGGGAGGATGCAGGAGTCTCATGACATTCTTTATCACTGCAGACTGAAATCAGAAACTTTTAGACGTCTTGCCCCCAATTTTCACCACATCCAGAACGGCTACAAAAAGGACATATCCGCCAATTGTAGCTGATCGTAACCGTTCAAGTTAATATGTCAATTTACACCAGCTTATTTCCGTCTTGCTGCAGATCGCTGCACTCTGCAGCTGATCGAAGGAGTTCTATTTTTTCCAGATGCCAGAGCATGCCGCATAAATTCAGCACAGATTAACCTGTGCTAGAAAGGAAGTCAGGCACAGACACAAAATAAAACATCTGGCTTCTTTTCAAAATAAAACAGTCTGTGTTTCAGGCGGATCCTATTTTACACCACGCAAACAGGCCAGGACGAACAAGTGAAAGGTTTTTAGACAGCATTTCATCCCGATGACACCATGTATGAGGAGATGCTGATTTTATAAGTCTAGAAGTAGATTTCCTCCTTTGGCAGGACACAATCTACTGCTTATGGTTAGCCTACGTGGCTAGAGACAACTTGTTATTGCGCAATTGCACATGAATCCGCGGGTTCGCCTCACAAACGGATCCGGTAGGAATTCATGTATGGTGAAAATCGCTGCCGGTCTGGATCAGAGCCGTTCTGGATGCGGTGGAAATCCTGGGTTATACTGTTTATCAGACATTTTTTGGCAGAATTAAGAGTAGGGGGTGGATGTTTCACCCATACAAACTCACTGTAACCTCTGAAGCCCACTGAGACGTCTGAACAGTGGACAGAAAGAAAAACTGAGCTGGTGGCGTTTAACTTTGTTAAAGAATCTTTGCTCAGTCAGACACTTTCATCAACTCTGAAAAGCAAAGTTCAAGGAAGACTACCTTACTCATTTGTTGGTTGCCAGGCAACAGAGGGTTAAAAGGCTACTCTTTGTAATAGTTTTCTTGCTCTTGTTCTTCCTCCCACTTTCTTTCTGTCCCAAAAGTTTTTGCAGTTGTGACACTTTCTGGGGAGAGGATCCATATTTAATGACCCAGCAGTCGCTCCATGGAAATAGTCCATCGATGAACCCAGCAACCAGCTCATTCTGAGGCTGCACAAATACTTCCAGAGACAAACTTCTAAACCATCTAATCCCTGATGAGACAAGCATGGCATGGTGCTAGTTTAATTTTTCAGAGGGTCATTAACAGAGAATAATAAACAGCCGAGGGGCACTCACTGTAATAGAATCTGTCATAAAAGAGGGCTGAGCTAGTTCTTAACTTGTGTCCCTTAGTCCTGTTATAGTCCGCAAATGTTTAGACAACAGCATGGTTAAATAATCAGTAAATCGGGATGTTAAAATCCTCACTCAGTCCTCAATTCTAACTGTTATGGACCCGAATCACAATCCATTTCTTTTTAAATATTCAGTTGATATCCAATTGTCATGTTTATACATCTTAGGTATGTTTGATCAACATACCTGGATAACAGGGTTGAGGATTGATTTTCTCTCTCTCTGTATTGGTACATACAGGTCAACCTTTTACTTTAAACAAACGGAGATGTGCAGCTATGCTTCTACTTGTGATAAAATACCAGTGACTTTGCTGTTTCAGTGACTCTGAGTTTATCGGGGCAAAGGGCTTGGAGATTCTAGCATTTTCTTCATCACCATACAGTATGGTACTGCTAACTGCAGGCTCTTCATAAACTCAGCCCTGCACATCACCGTGCATCCCCATGCTCACACATAACTAAGGGGTAATTCTTTTTAACACTTCAACGTAACTGTTGGTGACACTAACCGTGGTGGTCCCAGATATTAACGGACACCTCCATTGCGCTCAAAATAATACAAAATAAAGCCGTGCAATCCAGCTGTAGAAGCAGATTACAATCAGCTCTTGACCTTTCTTTGATTTAAAGCCCACAGGACGTTATCGTTAGATCCTGTCTGATACTGTCAGCATGTCCTCAGTTTTTAGAGAAATAATGAAGTTGTGCTGCCATGTCCTGGTGCGTAAATGTTCACACGCCTTCTCAGCAGTCAAAGGTAGTTACTGTTGGGCAGTGAGAATGTCTCAGTGGAGATAACATCAATGCTTGCATCCACAGAGCCTAAACATTGACCTGAGCGTATTCTTGCATTTGTAAATGGTTTGATAGACCATCTACAAATGATAAAAAGGCTTGAATCTGCCACACAAATAGTAAAACATGAGAGCGGACACAGTGATTGATTTAGACAGCACAACACCAGACTTCATCAATCAATCTCCTTTTTTTGGTTTCATGTCTGCACTCATCCATTTCCCTCTCTGCACATAATACTCAGTGCCCTCATGTCTTGGTTACAGTGTACATACGTTATTAAAAAGCTCAGACATGCACAAGTATTGCTAATTGATAACAAACGGTTAAAAACAAAGTGAAAATGAGTTATTGCAATAAATAATCCTAGGGGCAGAAAGAAGTGAACGTAGGAGTTCATAAAACAGGCCACAGTCATGTCATGTGCAGCTCAATATATATTTTTTAATGTATTCAAGATGGGGGAGTGGTATAAAAAAGGCAAAGGTTTGCATCGACATTTTCCAATAAGATGTAAATATAGAAAAAATATACAATCCACTTGTTATATGTGAATTTGTTAATCCATTATTTTGGAGGGTGAATTAACTTACTGCTCTTTCAGTAATGGTCAACCACCATCAGCTTTTTTTTTGGTTGTTTAAATATGTAAAGACTGAAAAATATTTGGTTCGGTAAAATATTGCCAGAAGGAACTAAATCTGTTTATTTACTTTATAAAAATAAATAAATAAATAAAAAAACCTGATGGTGACATTGGCCTCTTAAAGGCTGATGCTGATATAAAGTTATTTATTTCAAAAAATGCCAATGATCAGCGGACTGTTTACTCAGTATCTCTTATCAGCATCAGTCTAAACTGAATAGTATCACTTGAAACTGTACTGCAATATGATGTCTGACAGTCAAGCAGCTAATTTTAGAGATTTTTTCCTAAGAAATGAATTCCACTTAAGAAGATTTCATGAAGTATTGTTGAAATAAACAAAGCAGATAAACGCCCAATAAATGAAGTGTCTAAAAATACTGGAAACTAGAAAAATTCAGTAAAAGAAACCCCACACACTGTTGTGTATTACAAGTATTTGTTGTGAAATTGCAGAGCTAATTGAGGGGACGTTGTCACTTCTCTTTCATTAAAGCTGATAACA